TCAATTCTTTTTTTCAATTATCTTTTGAATGGAAATTTCTAGAGGAAAATAACGTCAATAATTTCGATTGTATGGAGAATGCAATTACACAATAATTTAAGACAATAAAAGTTTACGAATTTTAAAAATTAAATTAAAAATTAAAAAAAACGATCGAAGAGAAATGGAAAATAATTTTGATAAAAACTGTTAAATGTTTAGCAATATCTGCTCTCTCATTTATAAGATTGCATATAAGGTAACAAAAACCAAAAAAAAAAATTAAGATTATACGTTGGCGATATTACAGGAGAATTGCGCTACGTGACCGTTTGTAGAACTGAAAATCGTTGATTTGATTTATCACCGGGAGACGGCAAGAAACAATAACTAGTGTTTCGTTGCGAAATTGCATCTCGAATCCAGAAATTCGAAAGATTATTATATTGTCACAACCACACTTGTAGTTATAAAAAAAAAATGGTCTATACAAAAATAAATTATTTTATATTTGTTTCTAAAAATGAAAACAGAAATATTTAATTTTTTTGTAAATACAATTTTGTCTGTAATTATAAAAGTAGTTGTAACTACTCTTTTAGTATACTACTACTACTACAACTACTTTAATTGTATGAAATTACATAAAAAATAAAATAATGTCCAAACACATAATTTAATGTCTAAAATATTATTTAGAGAGAGATTATTATTTAGGAGAGAGAGAGAGAGAGAGAGAGAGAGAGAGAGAGAGAGAGAGAGTAATTTTCTCTTGACCGTAAATTTTGATTGAAGTTTAAAATAACAGGATTTAAATAATTTATGTTTAAACTTGCAGAATCATAAAGGATTATAAAGTCCTTGATAATTCTGTGAATTATCAGAGCAAAGCATTTTGGCGAGCAATACAGGCGTTATTGTTGTAAATGGCGTTGGCCATCGTAAACAAGACACGCGGATTGGATAAAGGGGAGGGTTTTGCGGTTGCTGTAGCTGTATAACAAGCACCGTGTCGAGAACGAGCCATCGTAACTAAATTATTTCGAGTCAGCCATGAGACAATATTTTACGTTATGTCACTTTTCTTCTTCCCTTTCATATTCTATTACATGTATACGTGTGTGTAAATTGATTTTTTATATATAGAAAATAACAATTTTATAAATAAATATGTCAATTTAATTTCTCGTTTTTAAATTTTGTATATTTCTCAATTTTTATATGATTTTATGATTTTTTTAAATCAATTATTTTTAATAATTTTTAAAAAAATTCTTTGAAAATTTTCAACACCTTTTAGTTTACAATTCAGTTTTACGACATTTCAATTATTCAGAAATACTTTAATTCTATTAGAAAATAAAAACTTCAAATTATTTAAAAAAAACATTCAATTAAACTTTTTAAAAAAAATTAATTCTACAGAATTGTTAGTTAAAAGTATAAAAAATTCAAATTTTCAAAGATTTTAATTTGAAACATTTTCAAAATTCAAGCTAAAATGCTTTTACTATTCAATTAATTATTATCTCAAATTTTAATTGAAATATATTTTTTAATTTATTTTGATTAGAAAATTCTACGACATTTCAATTATTTAAATATAAAAATAAACAAATATTTATTCAATAATTGAATGTTTCTTAAAATCGAATTCCTATTTCTTATATAAATAATTTTCTCAACAAATTTTAAAATACTTGAATTCTTTAGACGAATTTTAATAAAATTATTTTTAAAAATTACATTTTTCGAGAAATTTGATTAAAATTGTACTAAAAATAATTGAAATTCTGCGATGATTTTTATTAATTATATGAAAATAATTGAATTCCTAAAAAGAATTTTATTATTTATGAAAATAATTGTAGCCCCGCAAACAATTTTATTGTCTATGTAAATAATTGAATTATTGAGAAGAAATTTAATAAAAATTTATAAATAATAAAATTCATGTAAAATTTTTCTTATTTTAAAAAATAATTAAGTGTTAGCGTAGAATATTATTAAAAAAAAATTTTTAAATAATGAAATTTTTTCGAAAATTTTATTAACCCCTTCACTGTCAGTGGGCTCTATAGAGCCATAAAAATGTCGTGCCCTGTATGTCCATGGGCTCTATAGGGCCATCGGAAAAAAAGACATTTAAATGTTAACGAATCTGGCTAAAAATCCTTACTCGGGGGTTTTCGGGGTCGCTGAATCCAAATCCGTTGTCGAAAATTCAAAATTCAAAATGGCGGCTTCAAAATGGCGCCCAAAAAAATTTTTAAGTTTACGAATTTTTTTTAAAATGCCTTAAAATGCCTACTCGGGGGTTTTCGAGGTCGCTGATTTCAAATCCGTGGTCAAAAATTCAAAATTTAAAATTGCAACTTTAAAAAGGCGACAAAAAAAATTTTTTAAATTAACGAATTCGTTAACTTTTCAATATTTTTGCTCGATATTTTGAAGCCGCCATTTTGAATTTTGACTTTTCGACCACGGATTTTGAATCAGTGACCTCAAAAACATAAAATATGACAATATCATGATTTTAAAAAAAAAATTTTTTTTTGAACACTTATGGCACAAAAACTTTATTTTCACTCGACTGTGAAGGGGTTAAAATAGCAGATTTTTAAAATCATTGAATTGAGGAAAATGTTTAAAAATAATCAAAATTTTGACAAGAATGTGAGTAAAATTTTTGAAAATAATTGTATTTTGGAGAAGAATTTTATTATTTATAAAAATAATTGAAATTTTGATGAAAATGTTATTAAAGTTTTTTAAAAAAAATTTAATTTTGGAGCAATTTAATAAAAATTTTTTTAAATAATTGAATTTTTGCAAAAAATTTTATTACTTTTGAAAATAATTGAATTTTGGAGAAGAATTTTAATACTTTTGAAAATAATTAAAATTGTGACAATAATGTTATTAAAGTTTTTAAAAATAATTGAAATTTAGAGAAGAAGTTTAATACTTTTGAAATTAATTGAAATTTTGACAATAATGTTATTAAACTTTTTAAAAATAATTGAATTTTGGAGCAAATAAATAAATAAATAAATAAAAAAATTTTGAAAATAATTGAATTTTTGCGAAAAATTTCATTACTTTTGAAAATAATTGAATTTTGAAGAAGAATTTTAATACTTTTGAAAATAATTAAAATTATGACAATAATGTTGTTAAAGTTTTTAAAAATAATTGAATTTTAGAGAAGAAGTTTAATACTTTTGAAATTAATTGAAATTTTGACAATAATGTTATTAAAATTTAGGTAAATAATTAAATTTTGAAGAAGAATTTTATTATTTATAACAACAATTGAAATTGTTAATGTGAATGTTATTGAAATTTTTGAAAATAATTGAATTTTGAAGAATTTTATTATTTATAAACATACAATTGAAATTTTGACGAAATTTTAAAAAAAATTTTGAACATAATTGAATTTCTGCAAAGAATTTTGATATTTTGAAAGGTAATTGAATTTCTGCGAAGAATTTTAATATTTTTAAAAATAATTGAATTTCTGCAAAGATTTATTACTTTTGAAAACAATTGAATTTCTGCAATCATTTGTAACTTATTTTCCAAAATTGAATTTTTTAAATGTTTTAACTATTATCTTATTGCTCTTTCTTTAGAGAATTTTGTCATGAAATTAAAAATTCTTATGGAATAACGAAGAAATAATTAATTTATGACAAAAAGCAACCATTTTTTTAAATAAATAAATATTTTTTTAGTCTACTTTTCATTTTTATTCATCAGTCTCAAAAAATACGAAATAAGAAAATTAAAGTTTAATTTTAGAGCGAATTTCATGTATATATAGCATCAAGAAGAAGAGCTTAATTTCATTTTAAAATGAGGACAAAGTTTGTAAAGTCGAAAATTGAATCATAAATTGAAATTTGCTTGTTTCACTTCTAGAAATAAGCCAATTTGTATGTATATTTTTGTTTTATTATAAAATGAATTTCTCGAAAAAAATATGTCAAAAGAAAACTTTCAACATTCTATTTATATATAGTTACTTAATGTTTGCTTGTATCAAATATTAAAAAAATTTTTTTATTTAGATTTAGAGCGTAATTTTTTTTTATTTTTAACTACGCGAATAAAATATGATTAAAAAAACTAATATTATGTATGTAATATCCTACATTACTTTCTCATTTGCTATATGTACATTATATATACATATAATACATATTCGTGCATAAATTTTATAGTTATACGGTACTATTAACCCTCAACGGCCCTCTAAACGTGAAACTTAGGACATGATCGCAACGAGACCATTTACAAAACCAAGCACGCACCGCCTGTTTATTCGAAATTCAGCACATCCAAGCTACCACGTTCCAATTTCTAAAAAGCTGTATAGTTTAGGATATGGATCTTCTCTTTTTTTTCCAACTCAACTTTCATACTGATTTTTAAATGCAAAAATAGTATGTTTTCCCTGCTGTCAATTATTGACAGACAAGAATGCAAAATTTTATTTCTATTTTTTACTAATTTTCCTATTTTTATAAAATAAATATTGAGTTTTGTGTGAAAAAATTGTTTTAAATACACTCCACGAATCAAATATTACAAGCAATATTGCCGATTTTAATCCGAGGAATCAGTAAATATAATGTTTTTAAACACTGTACGAATTACGAATAAATGCAAAATTTGAGGTTATAAAACATGTCAAGAATAATATTTAATTTTATACCCGAAATAATTGTAATTAAAGAAAAAAGTTATGCAAACATAACATGGACGCATTAACCTATAAATAACTCTTTTACCCCACTTATTATCTCTTGTAAAAGATTCTCATAATTTTTCAAAATAAACTAAAAATTTCGCGACGATATTTTTTTAACCAAACCATGTTTTGTTGGTGGAAAAAGCGAACCTTATATCCAGTAACAACTCCCAACCAATGATAATATATTAGGATATTTATATATCCTATATTAATATATTATCATATCTCCATAAAAATTAATAATTTTTCATTGACTCACCGATTAGAAATGTTGAAATACGCAAATTTTGTTGACGAAATATTTTCCTCTGATTTTCCCTTCGAAAAAATTCAATGGATCGACGCCATCTTGAAAATATTTTGCCTCCCCGTTGATTAAAAAACACATATTTGCACTTTCACTCACTTGAAAAATTTTCATTCACAAACCTATTGAAAATATTCAAATACACAAATTTGATAAACAAAACACTTTTGCACCGGTTTTCCCTCCAAAAGATTTAAAGCACCGACGCCATCTTGAAAATATTTTGCGTCATCTTTTGTAGGTTAGAAAACACCTTTTTGCACTTTTACTCACTTGTCGACCACTAATTACCGAATTTCCACTTTTTGCATTTGTATTAACAACTACGGCCACTTTTTATTGCTGAATTGACATTTTTATCTGAAAATAACAAAAGAAAAACGTTAGTTTTTAAGAGAAATTGAGGAGCGCGATGCGACACTTTTCAACTCAGGATGCAAACTGAAGTTGGCGTCGCAGTAACTACCAACATTCGCATCACGCATTATTACAAACTTTATTGTTATTTTCGATTGACTTTCAAATTATCATTGTTATTAACAAATTAATCGAAATTGTTAATTGTAAATTTCAATTTTGTTTATTATTTGCTTAGAAAATGGTTATAAGGAATGAAATAGAAGAAGTGAGAATCGACTGTTTTTGTAAGGTTGGTACTTGAGAATAGCGCGCGAAAATTCAAATGTACTTTAAAAAAATTTGAATAATTCCTCTTTAGAATTGAAATTCATCACTTAAATTAATAGCAAATAATAATAAAAATAATATAAATAAGTATATAATAAATAATAATAATATAAATAAAAAAATATAAATAATAATAATATAAATAAAAAGATATAAATAATAATAATAAACAAATAAAAAGATATAAATAATAATAATAAACAAATAAAAAAGTAAATAAAAATAATAAATAAAATAAAAAAATAAATATAAATAAATAAAAAATAATAAATAATATTAGTAATAAAATCGAAGGATTTAATCATAACTACAATGTAATAAATATAATTTTTTTTCAAAAGTTTCATTAAAATTGAACTGTTAAAAAATTAATAATTAAAATAATTATTTAATAATAAATACTCTTATTTTTTATTACCTGAAATTTTTAAAAAATTACATCTAATTGTAATTTACTACAAATCATGCTTAATTGAAACAAACGTTTTATATAAAAGTTATTCTACCTTTCTTTATTTATTATTATTCGATATTTGAAACCATCTTTCGAAAATAACAAAAAGCTGCACTATTTCTATTTTTCTCACAAATATAAATTAGCTTGTTTTATAAATAATGTTTCATAAATATTTACATTATATAAGAAAATGTCAGGTATCACATTGACATTGATCACAGTCATTACAACCTTGAATATTTAAAAAAGTAATCGTTGAATAATTAAAAGGTAAAAAGAAAAAAAGGAAAACAAAAATAGTCACATAAAAAGAACAGCAAATTCTAGTCCCAAACGTTAATGTCAATAATTCTTGAAATAATTTTCCATTTTGTAAATCTTTTCTATGTTGCAATAAATCTATTCCGAAAGATTTTTTCCACACGAAGTTAAGGAATTGAAAATAAAATTAGTATTTTGAAAAAATTGAAAATGCAAATTGTTACTTGGCAAGTTATTACAGTAATTGTTTTTTTAACTTTCTTCAAAGTTCTCTTTCTGTTTTTATCTTTTCTGCATAAAAAATCTTTTTTGCATTAATAATAAAATCATTTTTACGAATAACTTGTCCTTTGCTTGAAATGAAAAAAAAATGTAATTAAAATTAGTACTTGAAAAAAATAATAAGTTATACCAAAATATTTTTAAAATTCTTCGATTGTTTGCAGAATATTGAACTCTACGTTGCCACATATTATCCTCTTTTCTCAATTGAAACCCGAACTTATGTCTTCAATTTTTTGTAAAGTTTCCGACATATTTTTTAGTAAGTCATTCCCGGAAAATTGTTCTTGTCTCAAAGCCAAGTTGTAGCATTGCTTGTATAACTCCAGGTTGTCGGATCTGGAAAATTATAATTATTGCAAATAAATTACAATTATTACAAATAAATTATAATTATTATTACCTACAAATTATTCTTTTTCAATTTTTCTTTCAATTTTTTTTAAATTTTAATTAATATTTAATTGTAATTATTCTATAATTTGAAAATAAAAAATATAAATAAAATAAAATTTTCCCTTTTCGTGAATCAATTTCTACTTACTCTTTTTTAAGGCTCGAAACGTTTTTATTATTCATACAGAGTTTAACCAATGACCACAGTATGAACTTTAATCTCTGTTGAAGTAAATTTATCAGATTCTCTTGATCTTCAATTTCCTTCATTTCCTCCTTAGTTTGCTCACATTCCACTAGCTTATCATCAGTATCATTTTCTATACTGTCGACTTTTGTTTCCTCATTCTCCTTAAATTGTAAATCACTTTTATTCTTGTTATACAAAATATATATAGCTGCTCGACATTGTAAAATCAATTTAAGTCCATTTTTGAACGCTTTAAGCTTGCTATTAACCAAAGTGGACGCTGAAAATAAGAAAAAAGAATTATTCAGATTTACTCAAATTAAAATTTCAGTGAAGTTAATTATATTACTTTTGTTAAATTTATTTTGCAACAAAAGAAAAAAAAATTGCTTACTTTCCGCCTGATTTTCAGCTAATGCCACTCTTTCCATTTGTACAGTCAGGAATTGTTTCGTTTCCTCTAAAATGAGAAACAATTTAGCTGCCTTTTCGTAATTCAATTCACACAATTGCAAACATTTTTTTCTCTTAGCATTGTCAATTTCCATGTCTGTTTTTCTGTATATTCTGTGATAAAGTGAAGACAATCTGTGGTGAATTGATGCCGTACGAAATTGATAAATTGGTAGTCGGGAACCTGATAGTTTTGTATCACAAAGTTTTAATGCTTTATTCAAAATTTCCACAACTTCTCGTTCTAATTCTTCTTCGCTCTGCAAAAACAATTGTATTTTAATTTTCTAAATAAAAATAATAATTTTAATAAAAAAGAAAATAATAATAATAATAAATATAATAATAGTAGTAATAGTAATTATACTAATGATAATAATTTATTAAAATAGAAAAATACCTTATTCTCGATAGCTGGATAATCCTGCAAAAGCGTTGCCATTGTAAATAATGTCGTGGATAATTCCCAATTCACATTGTCCCAAATTTCTCGATTACATTTTCTATTTCCCAGAACTTGAAGTGCTTTTTGATAGCAGACAATTGCTTTTTCATAATAATGACGTTCATCCGATCTTTCTTTCCCTTGCATATGAGCTTTCGATCGCATTAAACGACCAATGTTTGCAAGCAAAAGTGCTTGATTTGCATCATCGTGAACAACTTCGAATGTTTTTATTCCAGCCTCTAAATGATTTTGCGAGAGTTCTAGAAACTTTCCCACCTCCGTGGCATGAGATTTAGAATCTTCAGTTTCTTGCTGATAGCATCCTGTTAATTACAAGTAAAATTGTATTCTATTTTTAAAGAATTTTTTTCTAAATAAATAAAAATATTTAATTTTTTTAATTTAGAAAAATATGAATATTTTCAATATAATTCTTATAGTGTTTAATTTTTTACACTAAACACTCACCGGTTGCTTTATTTAAGTACAAAACGCCAAGTTCGTTATGAGTGTTTCCCACTCTCTTCAGAAGATTATTTCGATCCACATTTGGTTGCTGTAATGCCAATGCTTTTTCGTAACACTTGTAAGAATCAACCAATGTACTTTCTTTACTCTCAAACTTTTTCGGCAGTAATTCAGTTTCATCTGAAAAGAAAAGCATATCATTTTTCATTTAAAAAATTTAAAATATTATCGCATCTACAGATTTTACACTCGATGATCAATTTTAAAAAAGTAGCAAAATCAATTTCTGTAAAATTGTATTAAAAATAATATTGAAATCCTGCAATGAATTTCATTATTTATGAAAATAATTGAATAGTTGTTAAGAATTTTATTAAAATTTTCAAAAATAATTGAATTCCTGAGAAGAATTTTATTATTTACGAAAATAATTGAATTATTGCCAACGATTTTATTAAAATGTTTAAACTTTAAAGAGAATTAAATTTCTGTGATAAATTTTGTTATTTTTAAAAATAATTGAATTTTGCAAAGAATTTTATAAAAATGCCTCAAGATAATTGAATTTTTGGGAATAATTTTGTTATTTATCGACATAATTGAATTCTTTTGAAGAATTATTTACGTAAATAATTGAATTCTTGGGAAGAATTTTATTAAAATCTAAATGAATAATTGAATTATTTAAAAAAAATTCATTTAACATTGTTTTTAAAATAATTGATTTCTTTCGAACAATTTTATCAAAATATTTGAAAATAATTGATTTCCTGTGAAAAATTCGAATATTTTTGTAAAATAATTGAATTTTTCGAAAAAATTTTAAAAAAACATTTTTTTTAAATAATTGATTTTTTCGAGAAATTGAATTTTTTAAAATAATTACATTTTTTGATCATTTCCTGTAAAATTGTATTAAAAATAATATTGAAAGCCTGCGATGAATTTTAATATTTATGAAAATAATTGAATAGCTGTTAAGAATTTTATTAAAATTTTCAAAAATAATTGAATTTCTAAGAAGAATTTTATTATTTACCAAAATAATTGAATTATTGCAAAAAATTGTATTAAAATGTTTAGAAAGAATTGAATTTTTTAAATAAATTTTGTTAAGTTTGAAAATAATTGAATTCTTCATTAAAATTTTATAAACATTGTTTTAAATAATTAATTTTTTCGAAATATAATAAACATTATGAAAATTCTATTTTAAATAATTGAATTCTTGTGGAAAACTTTATTTGTGAAAATAATTGAATTTTTCTATCAATTAATTTAAAATCGTATTAAAAATCATTGAAATTCTTCGATGAGTTTTATTATTTACGAAAATAATTGAATTCTTGCTTAGAATTTTATCAAAAAGTTTTTTAAAAAATTCAATTTCCATGAAAAATGTTATTATTCGTGAATGTAATTTAATTATTGTAAAAAATTGTATAAAAATTTTGATAATTGATTTTTTAAAAATTTTTTTTTGTAAATTCTGTTCTAAATTAATTGAATTTCTATGTAAATTTTATTATTTATGAAAATAATTGAATTTTGAATGAATTTTATTCATTTTTTTTTAAATAATTGAATTCTTTTGCGAAATTTTATGAAAATACTATAGATTATATTGATAATTAAATTTCGAATATTTTTTGAAAATAATTGAATTGTTTTAAAGAATTTGATAATAATTTTTGAGAATAGTTTTTTGATTTCTAGTATCAGCGAATTTAAAGTAGTGGACATTTTAAAAAAACAGAAAGTAGATGAGTGCAAAGCCTGCAATGCATCTATTATTAATAGAGAAAATTAAAATATTCGAAAGAGGTTTGAAATAGAATGTCCGAAACAATATTTAAAAAATAGTACTCACAATTTTCCAACTCCTCTAGAGCGAAGATATCGTCAATAATTCGTGTTGTTTCATTTTTCATTTCATAGTCATTTCTATGTTTCTCGACATTCTTCCAATCCTGAACGGTCATAGAACCACAATCACCAGCTCTGCCCAGAAAATAACTCATTGTATGCTCATTATTAATCAAACAAAATGACAATATTTTCTGACAACGTAAAACAGCCGCAATATAGTAGAGAGCAGAGCCATAATTTTTATTTGAATATTCATATTCTGCAAGTACGCCCATTGTCAATGCGGCCTTTTCATAAAGTAAAATTTTCAAATGCGCATTCCAACTTAAATTATCACTTTTCTTTGGTGCCTGCCATGTTGGCAATGTTTCTGGTTTACAGAGAAGAGTTTTCGTTGCTTCCATCTCTTCTTTTTTTGGTGCAGCATTTTTTTCCACTTTCTTCTTCTTCTGCTTAGCCTTCTTCTTATGACTTGGACTATTATTATTTTGCAAATTGTCACTTTCATTTGATGTGATGTAAGGCAGCGGAATTGCTTGAAAGGGATTAGCCATTTGTTGAACTTCGTCCGTTTCTTTTTGATTTTCCTTCTCCTCCTGTTGATCCTCGTCAAATGGACCTTGAAGGGGGAAATATTTGAGACACTCAAGACCGCTGACAATGTGTTCCAATGCCACTTTACATCTTTCCTCAACTGTTCCGATAATTGGCGGTGGTTTGTATTTGAACTCTTCATATTCTGCTTGTTCTTTGACTGCAAAAGAAAAGAAAATATTGTAGAAATATTAAATTATGAATTATTATTTACTTATTTATTTATTTTTATTTTTTAGTTTATTATTAATTATATTGATAGATTACTTCTTGTTAGTGTTAGGGATTTAATGGCAGCGCTGACGTCTTCTTCCATTTTGTCAGATTCTTTATCACTTTCATGAGACGAATAAGTGTCGCTATGTGTGTCTTCGTCATCGTTTTGTTCCATTAAATCCGGACTGCTGGGATTTGTTCCAGCTGGGACGTACAAGTCCGACAACATATAATGCGCTGAAGTGACAATTTGTGGATATTTTTTCTTATCGAGTAGCTGAATGCAATTTTTCAAAAGCATACGAATCGTTCCTCGATTTTTAATGTAGTCCAAAGAATACTTCATATTTCGGGCAACTCGATACAGGAGCATTGCAACTGGTATAGTGAAGGGACTTTGACCCTTGTCATCATTCACTTCACTGCAGAGAGACGTCAAATCGTACAGTTTCACAACATCGTCATCTCTACCTGAAAGAACAAAAAATATTTCTTTGTAAACATATTTATCTTAAAAAATATTTCTTTGTAAAAATATTTATCTTAAATAATATTTCTTTGTAAAAATATTTATCTTAAAAAGTATTTCTTTGTAAAAATAATTCACTTAAAAAATATTTCCAGGGGTCGAACCAGTGAAAGTATTTAAAAATACGGACTTTATGGACCAAAAATGAAAAATTACGGACCAACTGACAAAAATACAGCCAGTCGAGTCAAATAAGAGAACATTTTACTTCAAACTATAAATTAAATTTTATCATAACTATAAAAACAAGAAGAAATCGATTTCTTCATGTTTTATAATAATTAAAAATGTCAAATTGATAAAATTATTATTTATTATTATAAGAATATTGTACTTCTTCAAAATTATTCTCATTATTTCAATTTAATTATTATTTTTAAGAATTTTTAACTAAAATTCCCCTTTAAAGCAATTAATTTTCGAAAAAGTTCTTTGACAATTTTCAAATCCATTTGTTTACAATATTCAATTTTACGAATTTCAATTATTCGTAAATTCTTCAATTAAATATACATTAGAAAATAAAAACTTCAAATAATAAAAAAAAAATTCAATTAAACTTTTTCAATTATTTTAATTTCGATTATTTCTAAAAAATTAACGCTATATTGCATTTAATATTCAATTATATTAGGTAAAATTTTAACTGAAATTCATTTTTAAACCAATTTTTAAATTGAATTCAATTATTTAATTACAAAAATAAATAATTTATTAAATACTTGCATTTTCCATAGAATTGAATTTTTATGAAGTATTTTATCAAATTTTTTTTTAGAAATAATTGAATTTTTTCAGCAAATTTAAAAAAAAAATTTAAGAATAAATTCAATTTTCTATCATTTTATTTAAAATTATATTAAAAAATAATTGAAATTCTGCTGTAAGTTTTTTTATTTATGAAAATAATTGAATTCTTGGAAAGAATTTTATTAAAAAATTTTATAAGGAATTGAATTCCTGTGAAAAATTTTATTTGTAAAAATAATTGAAATCTGACGAAGAATTTTATTAAATTTTTTTATTAAATAATTGAATTCCTGAGAAAAATTTTATTTTTTTAAAAGAATTGAATTCTTGGGAAGAATTTTGTTAAAATTTCTTAAATAATTGAATTGCTTCGAAGAATTTTATTCGAATTTTTTTAAATAATTGAATTATCATAAAAAAAAATGTATTATTTGTGAAAATAATTGAATTCTTAAGAAGAATTGTATTGAAAATAATTGAATTATATAGAAAAATTTTATTAAAATTGCAAATTTTATTAACTAAATTTTGTAAAGAATTTTGTCAAAATTTTTATATAATTTTAGAATTTTTAAAAGAATTGTATTTAAATTTTCAAAAATTCTATTAAAATTGTATTAAAAATAATTTAAATTCTGCGATGAGTTTCATTATTTGTGAAAATAATTGAATCCCTGTAAAAATGTTATTATTCATGAAAATAATTGAATTATTGAGAATAAATTTATATAAAAAAATTTGTAAATAATTGAATTTCTGTGAAATTTTTATTATTTATGAAAATAATTAAATTTATTTTAAATAATTGAATTCTTCGAGAAAATTTTATTAAAATAGTAAATATTGAAAATCATTGAATTGTACAAAATTTTTTAAAATAGTTAAAATTTTTCCAATTATTAAATTTAACCTTTTTTTAATTCAATTATTTCAACAAATTTATCTTAAAATGATCTTAATATTCAATTATTATGTAAAATTTTAACTAAAATTCATTTTTAAATCAATTTTTATTAGAAAATTCTACTAGAATTCAATTATTTAAATTACTTAATTTATTAATTAAATGTTTCTTAAAATTGAATGCTCGTAAAGAATTTTATCAAATAAATTTTTATTATTTATGAAAATCTATTATTTATTATTATTAATTATTTTTGAAAATAATTGATTCCCTAAGAAAAATTTTATTATTTTTAAACATAATTAAATTTCTGTAATAATTCGAAATGCAACATAATAATTTATTGAATAATTGAATGAATGTTTCTTAAAATTCAAATCTCATAAATAATTTTATCAACAAATTTTAAATAATTGAATTCTTTCGGCGAATTTTGATAAAATTTTTAAGAATAATGACTTTTTTCGAGAAATTTGATTAAAATTGTATATTAAAAATAATTGAAATTCTGCAAAGAGTTTTATTATTTATAAAAATAATTGAATTCTTGAATAGAATTTTATTAAAACTTTTTTAAATAATTGAATCTCTGCGAAAAAATTTATTATTTCTACAAATAATTGAATTTTTACGAAATTTAAAAAAATAAGTGGATTTTTGAAAAGAATTTAATTAATATTGTATTTAAACTTAAAGTAAATGAATTCCTGTGAAAAATTAACTATTTATTGATATTATTAAATTCTTTCGAATTTAAAAAATTTTTTTAAAATAACTTAATTTTCCCTGGAAATAAATTAAAATTGTATTTAAAATAATTGAATTCTTGAATTGAATTTTATTACAATTTTTTTTAAATAATTAAACTCCAGTGAAAAATTTAATTATTTTTTAAAATAAATGAATATAAAAATATATTACCCTTAAATAACCAGTAAGTATGACCGGCCTTTGTAACATTATTCTTCAGGAAACTCAAAATATTCTGTGCCACATCTCTAATAAGTTTGGGACTGAATTTAGCGTCTTCCAAATTCGGGAAATCCTCGGTTTTAATAAATTCATACTTCTGTACAATCCCATCGAGATGACAGCACATAATAACTTCTGGAACGTTACTCATGAGATTATCGAGCCAATAATCAATTCCAGTGAGAACGCTAATTGGTTTCGTCATATCTCTAAGTCTTAGACTAATACAAGGATGAGTTGGTCCTCCAAATATTGGCATGTCAGTGCCAATTAACATTTGAATATTTTCAAATGTCCAAAGAACATTACGTGCAAAATTATGATTACAATTTGGATCAGGTAATTCCTGTTCACGAGGCGGTTCAGGTAGCGATGGTTCTACATTCTTAACGGGCAATTCTGGTTTTTGAGCGTCTTTCTCCTTATCGGCCAATACAAGCGAATGATAGAGAAATTTAGAAACTAAATTCTTCTGTTGCAATGTATTTCTACTGGATTTATGAAAAAGTCGTTTCTCCTTGTTACCGAGATTTTGAAATACTTGCTCGCAAACAAATTTCTTCAACCATTCCCACTCGGTTTCGGCTTGTCTCAAAAGATATCGATGAACATCGAAATCATCTAAAAGCAATGTATTTTCTATACGATGTACAACCATTGAAATAACACCGTGACTGTAAGGCATTTTTAAAAGTTTTTTTATATTCTCCGCTTCTGAGACAACATCCACTTCGCCAACACAATCGGGGAACATGTGCGCCATACGAAAACTAGAAAAACTTCTGCTTTGTGATGACCAGTCGCTTTGAAGGCCATAACTCTCGGCCGAACTGCTCAGCCAATTGCTCGGTGGTAAATTCAAGTCTGTGTTGCATTGTAATTCAGCAAAAGTCGCTGGATTTTGAACAGCTGAATATTTAACAACTGCCGTCGATTTCACTGGTTTCTTCGGTGAATCTGGAGCATTCTCGGCCACTTTTGACTGAAAACATAGCAAAAATTTTGCATTCTTTCTATTCGAATTTTTAATAATTTCTAAATTTGCATTTTGTTATGCAATACATTGAAATAGAAAATAGAATAGAAAATAAATAATATTAACACAAAAATTAATTTAACACCTTCAACTTGATGTAAATCAAAAAATTGACAATGAAACAAAGTAGAAAACATTTTATAAAGAACAATAATTTCATCAACTTACAGCGTCAACGTGGAAATCTGATTCTTCCGACATTTCTAAAAACTACATAATTCGTTGTAACAATAATAATAAACAATAAAAATCGTTATTTTAATACATAGAAAATAAACAAATTGGCTAAACGTCTGTCTAAACCAGTCTAAACGAATATCAGAAAGCTAAACGTCCGTCTAGACAAACATAACCTCAAAATAGGTTTCGTCTTTAATTATAAAATTATAATACTATAAAACTACTAACCGACTGATAATACTGTCCAAATAGAGACAGTATTTAATAAAAGTAAATTAAAATAAAATTCTGAATTTTTTACTGTGTTCTTCTTAATTCTTAAAAACAAATAAAAACCGAAAAACAGTTTTGTGTAGATATCTCTCTCTCACTCGCACGAACCACATGAGTTTTGGAAAATACTTTTTCTTAAATATAAATTGAATAATAGTAAAAGTTAATTATTAGGACTTACTAAATTTAAAAAATAAATGAAATACAATAATTTGTTATTGATATTGTTGTTTTTAATTTAGAATTAAATATTTACTATATGATATTTAATTATTTACTGAATATATAAAAAGAGAATAGAGAGAAGTTGGCTTCATAGGGATACCAACATACCGAAAGAGAAAATTTAAACTGAGAGCGCGAAATTTAAAGTAAGTAAAGCTACGTCCACAGTGATTTTTTAAAGAGTTTTTGCGCTTTTTTTATGTACAAACACAACCCATCTCTGATTTGTATTTTTTGGAAACCGGGTTTAGGTTATGTACCTTATTTAATGAAGGTTCTTTTAAATAACGTTCTTAAAAGTTCATTAGTATTAAAACAATTACATTTAAGTAGATTACTTTATACCTCAGGACAGAGAAAAATGTCCTCGGAAGTGGAGAAAGCTCAGGCAGCATCTCCTGAGGAAGATACTATTTTCAGCAAAATTTTGCGAAAGGAAATACCTTGTAATTTCATTTACGAAGATGATCAGGTAAAAAGAAAAGAATTATAAAGAAAATATTTAATATATATAAAAGAAAATTTTGATAAATTTTCCTATCAATTTTGATAATCGTAAAAATTAAGTGGTATACTTTTAAATTCAATTTTCAGTGTGTGGCATTTCACGATGTCAATAAACAAGCACCGACTCACTTTTTGGTAATTCCGCGAAAGCCAATTTCGCAATTATCGAAAGCCGAAGACAATGATGAAGCTTTATTAGGTCATTTAATGAACGTTGCACGTAAAGTTGCCGCAAAAGAAGGCCTTGACGATGGATTTCGTCTAGTCATTAATGATGGAAAAAATGGCGCACAGTCAGTTTATCATTTACATTTACACGTTCTCGGAGGACGCCAAATGCAATGGCCTCCTGGCTAAAAAAGAAATATTTTGTATTCAAGGATAAAGAATTAATTTTCCGCAATAAAATACACTCTTTCAAACTGTACATAAGTTTTTATTTATAAAATATTGTTTGAGTAATTAACGAAATTTGCGAAAATTCTGATTCTCACACTATTGAATGATTTATTTCAAGTGAATCATATTTTACAAAAAGAATTCCATCTATTTTCGAGTATTTCATTATTAGTAATTAACTATTCTAAAATTAATCATTAATTACAATCTTATACTTTGTACTATTTAAAAATGTTTTAAGACTTACAAAACATGCGAGATAATGCAGTCGATAAAAGTATTTATACAAAAAAGTAGATTACTATAATACACAAAAATACAAATACAGTAAAAAAAATTCGTACTAGACGATTTCATCTTATATATTATGGCAGTGTTTTGTCTGGTTTTATATGGATTGTTATTTATAAAACATTCCATTTACAATTGTCAGACATCAGTCTTAGAATCGTTATTAATCTACAAACGTTAAAATTTATTTTCTTAATAATATTTTCCTTTTAAAATTTAAACTATTTTCTAATTCGAATTAAAACAATATATAAAATAACAGACCTTAATCTGCTACGAATATTTGAATAACCTACTTAATTATTATATCAGTAAAACAATTATTAATTTGTATCAAAAAATTTATGTTTGTCGTGCAAATCCGATGTTTAAATTGATTATACAAAGAATAGTAAAAATTTAAGCATCAGTCTCTTTTTATGAATAAAAATTACTTGAATATAAAAATATGAAAAACTTATTTAAAACGTAATAATCTTGAAATCGGCGCAAATCTCAATTTTTACAGACTTATGTTTAATACACACTTTTAAAAAAATTCTATTTTAACTATGATGCAATAATTTCACATCAAATATTTCTAATTAAACTTTTCTAACAAATAGCTAATTATCAATAATATAATTATTATTCGTCAATAAATTCACGTTATTAGTCATTACCTTATAATCATAACGTAACAATACACAATGACGTGAAAATTTGTAACCATTCGTTAATAATTACAAATGTAATTCTATTTTCTTATTCCTATGACATTATACAAAAAAAAACGTACTTTTTAACACTAACCTTAATTTAACACTAGAAAAAAGAAATTAAAAAAAAGAAAAAACACAAAAACGAAAATTAAGTGAATTTTTCTTCGATAAGAAAAATTCGCAAACGAGTTTTTTTTCAAAACTCAAATTGAAATTTTAAGGAATCATAGACTAAATCAGCAAGCTTCTTCGGAAAAATAAGAATGCTTTAGCGCTTGAGCTGCTGTTATTCGATCTTGTGGTTTAAAAGTGAGCATATTTTTTATGAGATCAAGACCATTGGCGTTGATATTTGGTATTATTCTATCAAGTGGTTTAACATTTCTCTCAGGAAATGCTGTTTGACTGAGAGATACGTTATCAGGCCATTCATGACGTGGAGGAGTACCAATTACTCTGTAAACATTGCAGAATTTTTATTTTCTAAAATTCTCTTCAGATTGAAACACTTTCAACAATTATTAATTGTATTCCATGCAAAAAAAACCTTTTTCTCATTATTATTATATTATTATTAAAATTTTTTATTTTTAAACATCAAATTCAATTATTTTTGACTAATTTCAGATTCAAACTTAAAAAAATTAAATTATTTTACGAAAACTGTTAATAAAATTATTGAAAAGAATTTAATTCACTGTCAGTAATTTTAATAAAATTTAATAACATAATTATTAATTGATTTTAAGTTCTCAAAACGAAAAAATTGTTGAATAGAAAATTTCTCAATCACTAAAGTAATGTGAATAGACTTACTGGAAAATCCTATCGAGTTGATCTCCTTCGCTAGTTCCTGGAAATAGAGGACTTAGTCTATTTATTTCCGCTAAAATACAACCAATTGACCAAATGTCAACTGGAGTTGCGTAAGGACATCCCAATAGGACTTCCGGTGCTCGATACCAAAGTGTCACTACCTACAAATCATAACAATTCATTAAAAAAAAAAAAGAATGGCAATAAAATAATGAAAAAACAACCATGAAAAATAACGAAAAATAATATAGAAACAATAATTAAATATAACGAAAAATAATAGAAACAGTAATAAAATATAACGAAAAATAATAGAAACATTAATGAAATATAACGAAAAATAATAGAAAAAAAATTTGTTTAATTGTTCTTTTGCTTCCTAACTTTTTAAATAATTTTTCTTATCAAATTTTTTTTAAATACTATTTTCAAAAATTTTTTAATAATTTTTCCTTTCAAATAATTTTAATTTTAAAATTAATGTATTAAAAATCATTCAATTCTTGCAAAGAATTTTATCAAAAAAATTGAAAATAATTGAATTCCTTCGCAGAATTTTATTATTATTTATGAAAATAATCTGATACTCGCGAAAAATTTTATTAAAATTTTAAAAAATCCTTATTAAATTCTTTTGAAGAATTTCTTTGAATTTTTTTTAAAATAATGGAGTTTTTTTTAATAATTATAATTGAAAATTTTGAAAGTAATTGAATTTTATAAACAATTTCTTTTAAGTTTTTAAAATAATAGTGTTTCTTAATAATTGAAATTAAACATTTAATAAATTGTAATTGATTTAAACAAAGAATTTATTTAACTTTTTAAAATAATCGTGTCTGTTAATAATTATAATGAAATATTTAATTTTTGAAGTTTATTAAAATTGTTTTGAAAATAATTGAAATCCACCGAAGAATTATAATATTATTAATGAAAATAATTTAAATTTTCCAAAGAATTTTTTTTTTAAGATAATTGAATTCTTGCAAAAAATTGTGTTAAAATTTTTGAAAATAATTGAAATCCTCCGAAGAATTTTAATTATTAATAAAAATAATTGAAATCCTCCAAAGAATTTTATTTTTTATAACTAGATAATTGAATTCTTGCGAAGAATTTTATTAAAATTTTTGAAAATAATTGAAATTTTCCGACGAATTTTATTATTTAAGAAAATAATTGAAATCTTCAAAAGAATTTTATTTTTAATGAAGATAATTGAATTTTTAGGAAGAATTTTATTAACAATTTTGAAAATAATTGAAATTCTTTGACAAATTTTATTATTTATGAATATAATTGAAATCTTGCAAAGATTTTTATAATAATTTTTGAAAAATAATATAATTATTTCGATGAAAATTTAAATTCTTTGGAGAAATTTAATTAAGATTGTATTGAAAATAATTGAAAAATAATTTTATTTTCAAAATAGAAAGAAAAGACTCACCACAGATGTTAGTCTCATTTCAAAATCGTACGTCTTTGCTAGGCCAAAATCGGCAATTTTAATTCTACCCTCGCTTGTCACGAGAAGATTTTGAGGTTTTAAATCTCTGTGTGTAATTCTATGACTGTGCAAAAAATCGACACCTTGTAGAATTTCTTTAGACATTCGCTGTCTTGTGCAAGAATTTATGCCCGTTGTAGCGCACGATGATAAATAAGAGGCAAGATCCCGTTCAACGTGTTCAAAAACTAACCACAATGTCAGACCGCGATCGACTCTTTCCGATCTATTATCCTCCAGTGGTAATTGCAAATAATTCCCTTGGCATACGTCTAAAAGTCTTACCTAAAAGTACAGAAATTTTAAATTATTATCAAAACGAAAACAATTTGGTATTATTTTCGAAAATATTGCTTTTTATTTTTATTCGTTTTTCGATTCGCATTTGAAAAAAGTTAGAAATTGCTAAAAATATTTACAATGTGCGGATGTTCAAATCGTTCCAACTGTTTAAGAGTGGCAATCTCACGAAGCGTCGAAGTCGGTAGACCATCTTCAGTGAGTGGGACTCGTACTTTTTTCAATGCCACAACTTGACCACTTGTTAAATCTTTGGCTTTATAAACAGTGCCGTAGGCTCCATTTCCAATTAACGATAATTCCTGATAAAAAGCATGCTCGCCCATTAATGATGTCTGCTCCTGTTCTCCAATTGGTCTTCCCATTTCACTATTATTACTCCTCGATGAAGATCCAATGCCACTGTCTCCAGACTCAATAATCTCCCTCGACGAGCCTTCTTCTAATGAACTTGTTTTCCTACAAAGAATATCATTTCTCGACACATGTTTCTTTTTACTCTCAATGGATTTTTCCTCGATGTAAAAATTCCCCTCCTTCGATGGTTTTAATGTAGTATTTTCCTTTTTTTGCTCCGATTTTCGTGTGTGAAATAAAATAAATGAACCTTCGGCAGATGAATTTCCAGATTCGTCAGATGGCGATAATTTTTCCGATGTCTCTAGACTTACGTCAAGAGACTTTTCTCCACACTCGATATTATCCGATTCATCAGATTTCCTTGTTCTTTTACGTGGCGTTGGCGATGAGAGTTCTGTATTCAGCTCACAGCTCGATCGTCGTAATCTTCCGGCCATTACAACATTTCGCCCTCGCCTGCAATGGGAAAAAAATACTCTTTTATTTACTCTTTTAAGATCAAATTTGTTTTTTTTTTTGTGATTGAAAATATGGTTTTTTTAGCATTGAAAACAAATTCGTTCAATAAATATTTTTAAAATTGACACTAGAAATAATATTCTTGCCTGATGAATTTTTCCTCACAAGTATAAGAATAAAATGAAATAAAATGAATAAAATAAAACCGTTAGTCACAGACAAGGTGTAGCCCCTGCGAAATGAACACCTGTCCTTATTATTTGTTGAATTTCACTTTCTCTAAGAGTATTCAATTCAATAAATTCCGAACTTTTTAATCTCAATTCTTGCCTGTTGCATTAAATGTATTAAATTAATAATTAAATAAAGTAAATTTACAAATTGGAGCAAGAGAGAAGCTACTTTGTCAGCAATTTTACGAAGCTATTTTCCTGACAGTGTTTTTTTTGGCTTCTTTTTTCACTACTGCACTGTACACCATGTACACTTTTATTCCCCTTGATGCCCATATTGGTAAATTAGTATTGGTAAGTTAAGGTATAGTATTACACATGTATAGTTCAGGTTCTCGACTAGGTGCTGACCTACGGAGCACAAAACTTGTCAAGAATCTAATCTCTTTAATTTTTTCAATGATGAAAAATTCCAAACACCTATTTACACACTGATAAGAATAATACTCAACAATAAAGAGAATTTATCCAAGTTATAAGAATAATACTCAACAATAAAGAGAATTTATCCAAGTTATTATTATTATTAATAACAATAGTAGAACAGGACCATAGCCGGCCGGCCGGTTTTTCCAATACAATCACGAGGTCAATTTATAAACGAAACACGTGTAGAAAATAGAAAAATAAAAGATGGACAGGAAATCAGTGTTAAATAATAAGAAAAATTAAAAACTTGCTGTCTGACGCGCACACACCTTTCCACTGACTAAAACCATGAATGGAATGTTAACTCCCTCCAGAATACGCAATTCTAGTCACTAATGTATCTGTGTATGGATGCCACTCCCTCCGGGGACCCTTCTTTGCCCTTTATTTTATTTTCCTTCTCCGAAATCGAAAGAACTGGTTTAGTTATTCTTTCTTTTCCAGAAACGATACTTTGGAACCTTTGGAATTTCTTCCTTCTAACCTCGACATTTTTTACGAAAACTAAACTAATTTTTGTCAGTAAAGGAAAACTTTGTTCATAATAAATAAATCTTAATCTCAGTAATCAGTTTTCTCCTTGCTTCTTATAAAAAAGAAGTAATAATAATAACAATAATACAGAAAGGAGAAGTGTCGTTAAAGTTTATAAAAAATGGTCGTGTTCAAAACAAGGCAAGGAATGTGTATTAGGCTTTAAGATATTGCCTTAAGCCTATTCACACGCCCATCAGTCGCTTTTAAAAGCCCTGTGACGGCAGGCCTAAATTCACGTAATTCTCCAATAGGGAAAAACACTACGTAACTCTTCGTACGGAAGAAACTAGGTAATAGCGCTAGGATTCAAAATTAATATCAATATAATAATTGAATTTTAATGTAAAATAAAAACGCATGCATTTATTTGCTTATTTCCGTAAAGAATTTTATCACATGCAAAAAATCTAAAGAACGAAATAGAATGGCAACCAAACATGTGCTGCTTTTTGAAAAGGAATAATAGTTAAAATTACAGATGTTGAAATAGTCTGCGAAAATGAGGCAAATGTCACGTAGGACACAAAAATTAGAATTGAAAAGAAACAGAGTTTATTTCTATAAAAAAATAGCCTTTTGAGAAATACATATTTCCGAACTTCGAAGCCGTTTGGAAAACCCAAACATGTGGTAGCAATAAAAAAAGGGACCGTGGGACTCGGGCCTTACTCGAGTCCCCGGTATAAAAAAAAGGGTATTGTATCGTCAAGAAAAACCTATGACTCATCCTTCGTTCATAAGAAAAAGAAATGAGCTTTCTATTTAATTACAATATTCAAATTTGATATGAATTTCACATTCTTAATTCTATGTATGTCACTAATAATTTTATAAAACAACGATTATAAATTGATTACTGTTTACCATTTCATTACTAGTTAAATAATTTGATACTCTTAATTAATGATAAAAGTTTTAATCACATGTATAGAATTTGTTAATTAATCTATTGATTAATTAAATAATAATAATAATAATAATAATAATAATAATAATAATCGGTCGTATGAAATCTCCCAAAAATCAAATCGATCGAATATCCATTACATCGAATTTCAAAACATCGAATGCTCAATACATCGAATTTTCAAAACATCGAATGCTCAATATATCGAATTTTCAAAACGTCGATTGCTCAACACATCGAATTTTCAAAACTTCGAATGTTCATTAGATCGAATTTTTAAAACATCGAATGTTAAATTGATCGAATTTTTAAAACATCGAATGTTAAATTGATCGAATTTTCAAAACTTCGAATGCACATTACATCGAATTTTTAAAACGTCGAATGCTCATTTCATCGAATTTTCAAATCTTCGAATGTTCATTTGATCGAATTTTCAAATCTTCGAATGTTCATTTGATCGAATTTTCAAAACGTCGAATGCTCATTTCATCGAATTTTCAAAACTTCGAATGTTCATTAGATCGAATTTTTAAAACTTCGAATGTTAAATTGATCGAATTTTCAAAACTTCGAATGCTCATTTCATCGAATTTTCAAAACATCGAATGCTCATTTTATCGAATTTTCAAAACTCTGAATGCTTATTACATCGAATTTTCAAAACGTCGAATGTTAATTTTATCGAATTTTCAAAACTTCGAATGCTCATTTCATCGAATTTTCAAAACTTCGAATGCTCATTACATCGAATTTTTAAATCATCGAATGTTAATTTGATCGAATTTTCAAAACGTCGAATGCTCAGTTCATCGAATTTTTAAAACATCGAATGCTCATTTCATCGAATTTTCAAAACTTCGAATGTTGATTTGATCGAATTTTCAAAACTTCGAATGCTTATTACATCGAATTTTCAAAACTCCGAATGCTTATTACATCGAATTTTCAAAACGTCGAATGCTCATTAGATCGAATTTTCAAAACTTCGAATGCTTATTTCATCGAATTTTCAAAACGTCGAATGCTCATTTCATCGAATTTTTAAATCATCGATTGTTAATTTGATCGAATTTTTAAAACGTCGAATGTTAATTTGATCGAATTTTCAAAACGTCGAATGCTCAGTTCATCGAATTTTTAAAACATCGAATGCTCATTAGATCGAATTTTCAAAACTTCGAATGCTTATTTTATCGAATTTTCAAAACGTCGAATGCTCATTTCGTCGAATTTCCAAAACTTCGAATGCTCATTTCATCGAATTTCCAAAACTTCGAATGCTCATTTCATCGAATTTTTAAAACATCGAATGCTTATTACATCGAATTTTAAAAACTTCAAATGCTCAATACATCGAATTTTTAAAACATCGAATGATAATTTGATCGAAATTTCAAAACGTCGAATGCTCATTACATCGAATTTTCAAAACATCGAATGCTCATTTCATCGAATTTTCAAAACGTCGAATGCTCATTAGATCGAATTTTCAAAACTTCGAATGTTCATTTGATCGAATTTTCAAATCTTCGAATGTTCATTTGATCGAATTTTCAAAACGTCGAATGCTCATTTCATCGAATTTTCAAAACTTCGAATGTTCATTAGATCGAATTTTTAAAACTTCGAATGTTAAATTGATCGAATTTTCAAAACTTCGAATGCTTATTTCATCGAATTTTCAAAACGTCGAATGCTCATTTCATCGAATTTCCAGAACTTCGAATGCTCATTTCATCGAATTTCCAAAACTTCGAATGCTTATTTCATCGAATTTTTAAAACATCGAATGTTAATTAGATCGAATTTTTAAAAAGTCGAATGTTCATGTCATCGAATTTTCAAAACTTCGAATGCTCATTTCATCGAATTTCCAAAACTTCGAATGCTCATTACATCGAATTTTCAAAACTTCGAATTCTCATTAGATCGAATTTTCAAAACTTCGAATGCTCATTAGATCGAATTTTCAAATCTTCGAATGTTCATTTGATCGAATTTTTAAAACGTCGAATGTTAATTTGATCGAATTTTTAAAACTTCGAATGTTCATTTTATCGAAGAGAATTTAACATCTGAGTTTACTATCTATGTAATATGTTCTTCCTAGGGAATTTTGAAAGTGCGCGAGATTTGAAATCGTTTTGGTAAGTGACAATTTTTTTTATTGAGTAAAATTTTTTTGTTTGTTTACTAATTACTTGTCAGTAAATGTTTATTTTTTTGTTATATAAGTATCACTATTATTATGATTATTTTAATTTATATTATAGTTTTTATTATAAGGTAATTAAATTAAATTGTGGTTATCTATTACAATCATAGATGGCTCTAGTAATATGAATATGTGTTTTACAAATTTTTATAAATATTAATCTGTTTATAGTATAATTATTAATATTGTTATTCTTATTATTGTGTAATTGTGAATTTATTATGTATATTTAATGTAATATTGATTTATTTAGAAGTCAGTAAGATGATCGTTAAAAAAAAGTAGTGAATATTTCTTATTTGTCTATATATTTCGCTTCTAAATGAAGAGTTCAAGTTTCTTTTATCTATTTATAATGAATGATTGAATGAATGAATGAATGAATTAATTAATTAATTAATTAATGTGCATAAATTAAAATTATTTTCAAATTAAATAAAATATTGTGTATTGTTATTATTTTGTTATTTCTTTATATAGTGAATATTAAATTGCATTACTCTCTACTTTAAATAAGAAATAGATTCTATATGTAAGTAATACTTAAATTTTTATTGTAAATAAATAACAAGATTCCTACAGAAATCCGAAATTAAAATTCCATACCTTTTCCATGATTTATAGGTCAAACTTTTACGACATTCCAGTGCAATTTTAAATATAATTTCATTACTTTTGGGCTCTTCGAAAATAGTTTACTTATTGAATAGCCTCGACTCTTTGATAAAAAATTTAAAATTATCTAATATTATCAAAAATTCAAATATCCGAATTGCTTAAAATGCAACATTTTTTCCTCTTTTTTTATGGGATTTAGCTTCATTATTTTTGGGCTCTTCGAAAACAGTTTACTTATTAAATAGTCTTGACTATTATTATTATTATTATTATTATTATTATTATTATTATTATTATTATTATTATTATTATTATTATTATTATTATTATTATTATTATTATTATTATTATTATTATTATTATTATTATTATTATTATTATTATTATTATTATTATTATTATTATTATTGTTATTGTTATTATAAATTCGAAATAAAATCACATTTTATATTAAACAAAATTATATTTTTATTTATAATTGTAGAACTACATACATTTTATTTTATAATCGTGAATAAATCTTTGAAACATTAAAAGTTGTTATACTTTTTTTATAAAATTTACATTACTATAAAAGTTTAGTGTGAGTGACTGAAGAAAACGGTGATTTTTAGGAATTTTTTTCAGGGAAATTATTGCATCTAATTTTTAATACAGTTTTGTACATGTATACATATTTGTATAAATAGTCAACATTTTGTAATTTTTTCAAAGAAAAATATTCTTTTTTAATTAAGAGTTATTCGCTATATAAAAAAAAATCCAATTTTCCCACTGCGCTGCAGTGATTGCGGCCTTCTGAGGGACTGAAATAAAAAAAACAAAAAGTTTATTTAAGTCGAAGATATTTGCCGTACAATGACTCTCGGATGTCAAAAAATATTGAATTGCAACAAAATGGTGGAGTTTTGAAAAAGCTTTTCATTTTCGCCAAAAAAAAATCCGATGGTTCGGATTTTATTTTACTTTTATTTTAAAATTTTATTTTTCATGCATTAAAAAAACTGAAACCTCATTGTACGGCAAATATCTTCGACTTAAATAAACTTTTTGTTTTTTTTATTTCAGTCCCTCAGAAGGCCGCAATCACTGCAGCGCAGTGGGAAAATTGGATTTTTTTTTATATAGCGAATAACTCTTAATTAAAAAAGAATATTTTTCTTTGAAAAAATTACAAAATGTTGACTATTTATACAAATATGTATACATGTACAAAACTGTATTAAAAATTAGATGCAATAATTTCCCTGAAAAAAATTCCTAAAAATCACCGTTTTCTTCAGTCACTCACACTAAACTTTTATAGTAATGTAAATTTTATAAAAAAAGTATAACAACTTTTAATGTTTCAAAGATTTATTCACGATTATAAAATAAAATGTATGTAGTTCTACAATTATAAATAAAAATATAATTTTGTTTAATATAAAATGTGATTTTATTTCGAATTTATAATAACAATAACAATAATAATAATAATAATAATAATAATAATAATAATAATAATAATAATAATAATAATAATAATAATAATAATAATAATAATAATAATAATAATAATAATAATAATAATAATAATAATAATAATAATAATAATAATAATAATAATAATAATAATAATAATAATAATAATAAGTCAAGACTATTTAATAAGTAAACTGTTTTCGAAGAGCCCAAAAATAATGAAGCTAAATCCCATAAAAAAAGAGGAAAAAATGTTGCATTTTAAGCAATTCGGATATTTGAATTTTTGATAATATTAGATAATTTTAAATTTTTTATCAAAGAGTCGAGGCTATTCAATAAGTAAACTATTTTCGAAGAGCCCAAAAGTAATGAAATTATATTTAAAATTGCACTGGAATGTCGTAAAAGTTTGACCTATAAATCATGGAAAAGGTATGGAATTTTAATTTCGGATTTCTGTAGGAATCTTGTTATTTATTTACAATAAAAATTTAAGTATTACTTACATATAGAATCTATTTCTTATTTAAAGTAGAGAGTAATGCAATTTAATATTCACTATATAAAGAAATAACAAAATAATAACAATACACAATATTTTATTTAATTTGAAAATAATTTTAATTTATGCACATTAATTAATTAATTAATTAATTCATTCATTCATTCATTCAATCATTCATTATAAATAGATAAAAGAAACTTGAACTCTTCATTTAGAAGCGAAATATATAGACAAATAAGAAATATTCACTACTTTTTTTTAACGATCATCTTACTGACTTCTAAATAAATCAATATTACATTAAATATACATAATAAATTCACAATTACACAATAATAAGAATAACAATATTAATAATTATACTATAAACAGATTAATATTTATAAAAATTTGTAAAACACATATTCATATTACTAGAGCCATCTATGATTGTAATAGATAACCACAATTTAATTTAATTACCTTATAATAAAAACTATAATATAAATTAAAATAATCATAATAATAGTGATACTTATATAACAAAAAAATAAACATTTACTGACAAGTAATTAGTAAACAAACAAAAAAATTTTACTCAATAAAAAAAATTGTCACTTACCAAAACGATTTCAAATCTCGCGCACTTTCAAAATTCCCTAGGAAGAACATATTACATAGATAGTAAACTCAGATGTTAAATTCTCTTCGATAAAATGAACATTCGAAGTTTTAAAAATTCGATCAAATTAACATTCGACGTTTTAAAAATTCGATCAAATGAACATTCGAAGATTTGAAAATTCGATCTAATGAGCATTCGAAGTTTTGAAAATTCGATCTAATGAGAATTCGAAGTTTTGAAAATTCGATGTAATGAGCATTCGAAGTTTTGGAAATTCGATGAAATGAGCATTCGAAGTTTTGAAAATTCGATGACATGAACATTCGACTTTTTAAAAATTCGATCTAATTAACATTCGATGTTTTAAAAATTCGATGAAATAAGCATTCGAAGTTTTGGAAATTCGATGAAATGAGCATTCGAAGTTCTGGAAATTCGATGAAATGAGCATTCGACGTTTTGAAAATTCGATGAAATAAGCATTCGAAGTTTTGAAAATTCGATCAATTTAACATTCGAAGTTTTAAAAATTCGATCTAATGAACATTCGAAGTTTTGAAAATTCGATGAAATGAGCATTCGACGTTTTGAAAATTCGATCAAATGAACATTCGAAGATTTGAAAATTCGATCAAATGAACATTCGAAGTTTTGAAAATTCGATCTAATGAGCATTCGACGTTTTGAAAATTCGATGAAATGAGCATTCGATGTTTTGAAAATTCGATGTAATGAGCATTCGACGTTTTGAAATTTCGATCAAATTATCATTCGATGTTTTAAAAATTCGATGTATTGAGCATTCGAAGTTTTTAAAATTCGATGTAATAAGCATTCGATGTTTTAAAAATTCGATGAAATGAGCATTCGAAGTTTTGGAAATTCGATGAAATGAGCATTCGAAGTTTTGGAAATTCGACGAAATGAGCATTCGACGTTTTGAAAATTCGATAAAATAAGCATTCGAAGTTTTGAAAATTCGATCTAATGAGCATTCGATGTTTTAAAAATTCGATGAACTGAGCATTCGACGTTTTGAAAATTCGATCAAATTAACATTCGACGTTTTAAAAATTCGATCAAATTAACAATCGATGATTTAAAAATTCGATGAAATGAGCATTCGACGTTTTGAAAATTCGATGAAATAAGCATTCGAAGTTTTGAAAATTCGATCTAATGAGCATTCGACGTTTTGAAAATTCGATGTAATAAGCATTCGGAGTTTTGAAAATTCGATGTAATAAGCATTCGAAGTTTTGAAAATTCGATCAAATCAACATTCGAAGTTTTGAAAATTCGATGAAATGAGCATTCGATGTTTTAAAAATTCGATGAACTGAGCATTCGACGTTTTGAAAATTCGATCAAATTAACATTCGATGATTTAAAAATTCGATGTAATGAGCATTCGAAGTTTTGAAAATTCGATGAAATGAGCATTCGAAGTTTTGAAAATTCGATAAAATTAACATTCGACGTTTTGAAAATTCGATGTAATAAGCATTCAGAGTTTTGAAAATTCGATAAAATGAGCATTCGATGTTTTGAAAATTCGATGAAATGAGCATTCGAAGTTTTGAAAATTCGATCAATTTAACATTCGAAGTTTTAAAAATTCGATCTAATGAACATTCGAAGTTTTGAAAATTCGATGAAATGAGCATTCGACGTTTTGAAAATTCGATCAAATGAACATTCGAAGATTTGAAAATTCGATCAAATGAACATTCGAAGATTTGAAAATTCGATGAAATGAGCATTCGACGTTTTAAAAATTCGATGTAATGTGCATTCGAAGTTTTGAAAATTCGATCAATTTAACATTCGATGTTTTAAAAATTCGATCAATTTAACATTCGATGTTTTAAAAATTCGATCTAATGAACATTCGAAGTTTTGAAAATTCGATGTGTTGAGCAATCGACGTTTTGAAAATTCGATATATTGAGCATTCGATGTTTTGAAAATTCGATGTATTGAGCATTCGATGTTTTGAAATTCGATGTAATGGATATTCGATCGATTTGATTTTTGGGAGATTTCATACGACCGAATAATAATAATAAAATAAATAATAATAAGTTGTATTATAATACAAATTATCTACGTTATTGTAATATCTTATTAGTAATTCAAAGTTACCATGATTCTATGGTAATTAAATATACAGATGCAAAATGTAATTATCATACTCCGAATGAATTTAACTGCGAAACCGATTATTATATATTTGGTAATTGACGAAACAAATATTAATTAACTTTATATATTGTTAATGTTAAATTTAAATAATGAAAAAATAGTATGAATGTGTAAATAACTTGTAAAATAACACTCCGTCAGGGTTGTATTGGTCACAGGGAAGTTCAAAGGAAGGGGTAGTCATCCCCTCTACTCAACGCGCGCAGGGTCCTATGGGGACCCATGGACCACAGGATCTCATCTCGTCAGATATCTCCGAGCTCTCTTACCGATTACTTGTAATCTCTCGGCTCGAACTTGTAACTTTTACTCATTACTGTTGATTAAAGTAACCAATTTAAAGTATTTCTTGTTGTAATCATTATTAAGTAGAATTTGAATCTCCCACCTATTTACAGGGTACACTTTAGTGTTTTAGCAGTTGAATACCCCAACATTTTAATATTCAAAAATCCCTATTATCGAACTTGGGACGTGACAAGCCCTTTAAATTAAAGCCTTTATCATAATTAATTTTTTCTAATCTACCCAACACTGTCGCACAAACCTGATATTTAATAACCATGTCCGTCTATATAATCAAGATGTCGCTTTGACATTCCGTGAAACAATATTAGTTAATTTAATAATTAATACTTTTTACAAGCTGTGCTGAAAAAAATAAGTTACTGAGTTTAAGTAAATATAAACAAATTTTAATAGATTTCAATCATATACTTTTGCATCTGATAAAGTGAATTTGTGTTTTTTTTGCAAACTGCAATATTCCCAGCAGAGAGACTAGAAGTTAAATTCCCTTTCGGTGAATTGACAGTCTACTTGTCAAAATAATTGTCGGTGAAATTTATCATTTGTGACGATTCTTTTTCTTACAATTGTACGTCCAAAGAAATCCACAATGTGAAATATTGTGATTATTCAGATTTAGTTTAAAATCAAAATTACTTGGATTAATTACACAAGAATAATTGTTTATAAAAAAAAGTCTGCTTCAATTCAAGGAGTTTAATTTTGTAAGAGTGTTATGTTTTGAGTTCAGGACTCATAAATGATACCAGGTTAGCGGTTTTATTATTAAAGGTCAGCATGGAGAAATTCGCTATTGATTTAGACAAAGTACTCGATGAGTTTGAATTTAATGAAGGTAAGGCACGTTTTTATACTATTATATAGTCACGTGTTCTCTAGCTTTGTCTAGTGATTGATATTGTAATATATGTATAGTCATTAACGAGAGAATCATACAAAGAATGTCACGTCATTTCAGTTTTTTCAGAAATATCCAGTTTCCAGGGCTCGAAACAGTGAAAGTATTTAAAAATACGGACTTTACGGACCAAAAATTAAAAATTAGGTACCATTTCCGGACCAAAAAAAATATATATATAACCAGTCCGAGTCAAATAAGAGAACATTTTACTTAAAAACTATAAAACATGAAGATAGCGACAACTCCGAGTTCGGAGTGATTCGACTCGGAGTCATCGATTTCTTCATGTTTTATAATAATTAAAGATGACCGAGTGATAAAATCATTTACAATTCAATTATTTACAGGAATTTTTAACTAAAATTCTTCTTTAAATCGATTATTTTTTATAATTTTCGAAAAAGTTCTTTGACAATTATTTTCAAATCCATTTATTTGTTTACAATAATATTCAATTTTACGAAATTTCAATTATTCGTAAATTCTTCAATTAAATATACATTAGAAAATAAAAACTTCAAATAATATAAACAAAATTTAATTAAACTTTTTCAATTATTTTAATTTCGATTATTTCTAAAAATTAACGCTATATTGCATTTAATATTCAATTATTAGGTAAAAATTTAACTGAAATTCATTTTTAAATCAATTTTTATTAGATAATTCTACTGGAATTCAATTATTTAATTACAAAAATAGATAAAATTTATTGAATACTTGAATCTTCCTTAAAATTGAATTTTTATGAAGAATTTTATCAAAATTTTTAAAAATAATTGAATTTTTTCAGCTAATTTTAAAAACAAAATTTAAGAACAAATTTAATTTTCTATCATTTTATTTAAAATTGTATAAAAAATAATTGAAATTCTGCTATAAGTTTCTTTATTTATGAAAATAATTGAATTCTTGAAACGAATTTTATTAAAAAATTTTATAAAAAATTGAATTCCTGTGAAGAATTTTATTTGTGAAAATAATTGAAATCTGACGAAGAATTTTATTTAATTTTTTTATTAAATAGTTGAATTCCTGTGAAAAATTTTATTTTTTTACAAGAATTGAATTCTTAGGAAGAATTTTACTAAAATTTCTTAAATAATTGAATTGCTTCAAAGAATTTTATTCAAATTTGTTTAAATAATTGCATTATATAGAAAATTTTTTATTAAAATTGCAAATTCTATTAACTAGATTTTGTAAAGAATTTTGTCAAAATTTTTATATAATAGAATTTTTAAAAGAATTGTATTTAAATTTCGAAAAATTCTATTAAAATTGTATTAATTTAAAAATAATTTAAATTCTGCTTTTAAAATTCAATTATAATCTAAAATTTTAACTGAAATTCCTGTTAAATTTTTTTATTTTTTGAAAATAATTAAAAGTTTGTGTGGAATTTTATTAAATTTTCTTTTAAATAATTGAATTCTTTTGGAAAATTTTATGAAAATAGTAGATATTGAAAATCATTGAATTGAGGAAAATTTTTGAAAATAATTGAATTTCGAAGAAGAATTTAATTATTTCTAAAGATAATTGAAATTTTGATAAGAATTTAAAAAAAAAATTTTTGAACATAATTGAATTTCTGAGAAGAATTTTATTATTACTTTTGAAAATAATTGATTTTTTGCAATCATTTGTAATTTCTCTAAAATTATTTAAATTATATCGTAAAATTTACGAACTTTTCATCCTTTTTGAATCAAATTACGAACTTTACGGACCTTTTTTCAAAAAGACGGACTTTTACGGACTTCAAGCAAAGTTATGGTTTTTTACGGGATTTATTTATTTATAGTTCGAGCCCTGAGTTTCTAAATTCTCTATCGACTTTTTTTTAATTTTGAAAATAGTTTTTATATTTATTTTCATATTTTTACTACAGTTTTTTACTTATTTTTGTCTTGAAAACTTTGCTTATTTTGTGATTCAACTTTTATAGATCGAGCTGAACAAGTTGCGTCAGTAGCTCCGAGGCACGTTGTTGGACCTTCGACAATTGTTTCCCAGGGTTTAATTCCAAAAACACAGAATCGTCCAAGCTCAACGAATGTTTCCAACGAAGATCTAAATGTCATTCCTCCACCTCCGGAGAGACACAAAGATGAACGTCCCCATCACAGTCACGCCGAGGAATCGCCTTTAAGAATCGAAAGAGAAAGAATGAATGACAATCTCGCAAGTTTTCGGAAAGCCGAACTCAAACAGGACAATGTCGACTCTGTCAATCATTTTTATACCCACGGTCGTTTGAACGACAGTAAAATCCAGCCAAAACAATGCGTCGAATCACAGTCTCTAGATCCAGAACCAGTTTCAATAATTCACAATGACATATCGCAAAAACTCCTGCAAAAAAAATTGAACGACAATAGTAATTCAAAAGTAAACAGCTACGATAACAAACTAAATCAATCCAATATGAAACCAAGTGTCAGTAATGTTTTCAGCAGTCTCAACGATTATATAAACGCTCCCAGTGGAAGTTTAGTAACCGATGAAAATCCCAATGATTCCATTGATAATAAAAGAAAAGAGGAATCCGTCTTGAAAATTGAATCCACAATGGACTGCACCGTCATCAAGAATATAACCACAGACACCGGAAGTATAAGTGTAATAAAAAACGATATCGGTGGTGCGCCAAAATTATCAAATGCCGTCTCCCTACCACCGAAATATCAAAATATCCTCCTACCAATTAAATTGGATGTGTGCGTCGAAAAACCGAGTAACGTCGCAATTGCCGAGCACAAAATCCCCGAGAATCCACCAGAAACCAGCAAATCCGTGAATCTAGAACGAAATTTCATTTCCCAATTACCGGAAGCCAAGAGTATCATCGACGAACCGGAGAATGTCTACGAAAACGTCTACATTGGCACTGACATTCCAAAAACCCAAGTGGCACTTAAATTAAAAAATTCCGATTCAAAAGACACCCAGATTCCAAAACAAACAATTCCAGAACAAACAAGAATCGAGGAAGAAAAACACACTTACGAAAATGTCGATTTTCCCACAAAAACCGTCCCTCGTCCAAATAAGGATTCCGTCTACGAATGCATCTACATCGGAAACAGAGAACTACCACCCGAAACAACAACAGAACTAGAAGTTGCGGCAAAAAAATTAGATCAATTCTACAATAAAAAAACTCAAGAACCCGAAACAACAACAATAACCGAAGTCACCAAAAATCAATTTTTTAAAAAATCATCACAAGAACCAGAGACAAAAGGTAGCAATACAACAAGATTAGTATTCCAAGCGGTACAATTAAATCCACCGCCACAGGAACACAAACCAATTGGTTTTGGAAACATCGACGATCTATCGGAGGAGGAATTAAATCGTTTCCTCGCTGAATTAGAGGAAGAGGAGAGGGCAAATGAAGCGTCCGGTAGTTCAGACAGTCAGTTGCAAAAATTCCCTAATAAACAAGACGATGAAGATGCGAATGAAGCGCCAATATTCGAGAGTGTTGTCATTGGTGAATTGCCAAGTGTTTCCGAGGAGGATCTTCAGCAGAAGGCAAAAAAATTCCCCGTCATTGATTATGGGAAATCACGTGTCGCTGCTGCTGCTGCTACTACTGCTACTACTGCTGCTGCTGGTGAAAGTTCAAGTGATTTTTTAGCCAAGAAGAGTGTGGAAAAATTTCACGAACCTGTAAAACCTATTTCGAAAGTAAAAGAGGACAAAGGAAAAGCAAGAAAAAGTAAAAAAACAAATGAAAAAATTAGAAAGTGTTCGGACAATTTTGATGTTCCGTGTAATGAAGTAAATACAATAGACGAAATTGTAACGGCGGCGCAAGATAAAGAAAATGGTAATTGCATTTCGGAAATTGATGCCACAATTAAGGAGGGCGACAATGAGGATTTGCAAATATCCACAAATCCTGATAATAAGGATTTAAGTGAAAATGGAGAAAGCGATGATAAATTAATAAATTCTGAATTAAATTCTCATAACGAAGAGACTGGTAATAATTTAAATTTAAATGAAAATATGAGTAGAGTAGGAAAGGATGATAATAGTTGTAGGAGAATTAGCGATGTAGATAACAATTTGGATCATAATGAAAATAGCGAGGAAGATCTTAATCGACCAATTAGGCCGCAGACTTTGGATATTGCTGCGACTGTAAACATGACTGAATTTACGACAGGTATTTTTTTTTCCATTTAAAAATTTATCTGCAATTTTAAAAATATTATTTTATTTATTTACAAATTTATCCACAATTTTAAAAATATTAGTAATTTATTTAAAAATTTATCTGCAATTTTAAAAATATTATTTTATTTATTTACAAATTTATCCACAATTTTAAAAATATTAGTAATTTATTTAAAAATTTATCTAAAATTTTAAAAATATCAGTATTTTATTTATTTAAAAATTTTTCCACAATTTAAAAAATATTAGTAATTTATTTATTTAAAAATTTATCTACAAAGTTAAAAATATTAGTATTTTATTAATATTAAAATTATTTATAATACAAAAAAGTTTAATAGTATTTTCAGGCCTCGGATTTTAGGACTTTTTGGACTTTTTTCGACTGTTTTCAAAAACAGCAATTTTTTTTTTTACTTTTCTTTCAAATATTACAACAAAATATTCACTTTTCTGATATAAAATGCTATTTATTTCGCATTTAATAATGTAAAAAATAACTACAATCATATTTTTGAAAATAATTATGTAAAAAATTTGTAAATCATTAAAATTTTGTAAAATATAATTAAAAATAATTATTGACTTTCTTTAAGTATTTTATTAGAATTTTTTGAAAATCAAATTTTGAAGAATTTTAATTGCAAATTTTGTAAATAATTGAATTTTTCGAATTTTTTAATAAAACATCTTTAAATGAAAATTTTTGAAAATTAGAATCCAAAAATTGTAATAAAATATTTTTTTAGAAAAGTAATTCTTACAATTTTTTTATTGTAATTTTTTAAAAATCTATTATTTTCAATTATATATTTCCGAAATTTAAAACATTAATTTTAGAAGTTTTTTATCTTAATTTTTTTTGAAATTCAATTATCTTCAAAAAATATAATTTAATATTTTCAAAAAATTTAATTTCTTCAGAAACTTGATGATTTTCTTATATTTTCCCAAAATTCAATTATTTTCAAAAAATTTTACTAAATTTCAATTATTTGAGTATAATTGAATTAATATATATAATAATTGAAAAATTCATTATCTTTCAAAAATTATTTCAAAATATTTTCAAACGAATAATTCTAAAAATTCTTTTTATTAAAATTCTTTAAAAACCAATTATTTTTAATATTTTCGTCTACATATTTTTAATTTTAATAATTATTTAATTAACTTAATAATTCATCTTGTAATAATTTTTAAATTAAACCCCAAAGAATTACAGTTAAGATTATTACAAAAATTGAATTTTCGTACTTAAATAACTGAATTTTTGAAGAATTTTCGAAAATCTATTCACAATAATTGATTTAGAGAAGAAGTTGAAAATTGGGGAAAAGAATTCAATTTTCAAAGGGTTAAAATTTGTAATTTTTGGGAAATAATTGGATTTTAGAAGATTGGAAATTATAACTTAAAAATTTTACTTCCGTGGAAAAATAAACAAGTATTTAAAATTTTAAATACTTATATTTAAGGAGATTATTAAATAATCGAATTTAGAAATCAGAGAAGTACAAACATTTTTTTACGTCTTAAAGTCGGTCCGAAGCCTTTATTTTATTTAATTATTAAATATTAAACTATTTAAATAAACTGAAATAAAGAAAATAAAATACTAATACGTATTTAATTATTTTTAAACATATTAATTGTAAAATACCATAATTGACAGACTAGTGTTTTTATGATTAACAATTAAAAAAAGTTAATTTTAATTTTTTTCTAACTTGAAAAATATTTTTATTTCAGGGAGACAAGAAGCAATTCCTGTTGTTTCGGATATTCCTGAACATGAGGGTAATGGAGATGAAATTCGAGTACCTTCTCCAGATATTTCGGAGAATTCTTCTATGGATTCGGGAATGGTGCTTGGAAAACAACCGCCCTTCTGGATTCCGGATGCCGAAGCACCTAATTGTATGCTTTGCGATGTTAAATTTAATGTAATTAAGAGACGTCATCATTGTCGAGCCTGTGGAAAGGTAAAAAGAAACAATCGATATCCAATTCAACTACTTTTCTTATTTACTGTTAAAAATTATTTTCTTTTCTAACAGTAAATAATTTTAACATTTTTTTTCTAATTTTCATCAGAAATGTTCAAAATTGAGATTTTACTTTTTACAGTAATTCAAATCTTTTTGGATCTATAAATTTTTTGTCACAACATTTTCTTTCTATTTAAATTCCAATTGTGTTTTGAAGAATTTCTTTGAATTTTTTTTTAAATTGGATTTTTTAAAAAATAATTTTAATTGAAAATTTTTAAATTAATTGAATTTTATGAACAATTTTTTTAAAGTTTTTTAAATAATCGTATTTCTTAATAACTGAAATTAAATATTTAATTAATGAATTTTAATAAAATTTTTAGAAAATAATTAAATTCTTCTCAGAATTTAATTACAATTTTATTAAAATATAGTAAATAATTAAATTCTTTCGATAAAAATTTTATTATAATTATTGACAGACAATTAAACTCTTTTAAACAATTTTATTAGAGTTTTTGTAAATAATTAAATTCTTTTGAAGAATTTCTTTGTGTGTGTGTGTGTTTTTTTAAATAATGTAGTTTTTTAAATAATTTTAATTCAAACTTTTTAAAATAATTTCTCCATTAATTTTACTTCGAAAGCCTTTGCCAAGAATATGTTTCAAATTTTTGAAAATAATTGAAATCCTCTGAAGAATTTTTCTATCAATGAAAATAATTGAAATCTTCCAAAGAATTTTATTTTTTATGAAGATAATTGAATTAATAAAAAGAATTTTATTTAAATTTTTGAAAATTATTGAAATCCTCGGAAGAATTTTATTATTATTTAAGAATATAATTGAAATCTTCAAAATAATTTTTCTTTTTATGAAGATAATTGAATTCTTGCGAAGAATTGTATTAAAATTTTTGAAAATAATTGAAATCTTTTGAAAAATGTTGTTAGTTATGAAAATAATTGAAATCTTGCTAAGATTTTCATTAAAATGTTTGAAAAATAAAATAATTGTTTCGATGAAAATTTAAATTCTTTGGAGGAATTTAATTGAAATTGTATTGAATATAATTGAATTTTTAGAAAGAATTTTATTATAATTTTTGAAATAAATTGAATTTTTTTGGAAAATTTTATAACAGATTAAGAATAAAATTTAATTCTTTTGTGAAATTTTATTAATTGAATTGTTTCGAAAGATTTATTAAAATTTTGTTGAAAATAAAAACATTTGCTAGTTTTAATTAATCATTATTGTTGAATCACAATGATTTTCTGAAAAGTTTTTCATATTTCTTTCTCTTTTATTGTTATTCAATTTTTATTGATTTGATTGAATGAACACACCTTTTATTATTATTGTCCTTTTGTGGTCGTCTTATTTTCAATTATTAAATATCGAAGGACGTTAAAGATTATTAATAATTTTTATTAAATTAATTAATTTTATTTATTATTCATTTTTTATTTTAAATTCTTTAGTATTTTATAATTATTACGTAAAAAAATAGTGTCTCTAAAGTTCTGAAGTTCGAATGAATGGAATTTATTGATTGCCTCTTTAAAATTAAATTATTGCAATAATATTGCCGCACTCATTAAAAAATAATTTAGAAAAATTCAAATTATTCAATTACTTTTTCTTTTTCTATACACTCGGTAATTTTTGTAAATATTTATAATGAGAAACTATTTCCTTAATTAGTTCAGAAATTTTTGAACATAAAAAATAAGGGAAAGAAGGAAAATAAGAAAAAAAGAAAGAAAATGAATTACATTGCTTTTAATAATTTTAGAGAATATGAAAATTATCTTTTTCTCTTCTTGCAGGTATTGTGCAGTAAATGTTGCAGTATGAAATACAGACTAGAGTACCAGGGCAACATAGATTCTCGTGTTTGTTTGCCATGCTATCAACTACTCATCAAAGGTAATAAAATAATGTACACTTTATTTAAGATGATAAGAAATTTTAATTTTATTTGTTCTTCCAATAATTGTAAATTAAAATTATCGCAGAGCACTTTGATTCGCAATTCTCTAAAAATAAAATTTGTATTCTTTTCTTTCTTTTTTTTTTCTTTTTTTCTAAATAATAATAATTTCTTCTTTTTGAAGCCGAGAATGAGCAGGAATCTGGCGACTGGTCGGGATATTCAAACAGTGCAAGTGGCCCAGGAATAAATTCACCTCAAGTAGGTTTCCTTATTTAAATTTCATATAAGTTTTCTATATATTTTTTTTTTTTTTCATGAATAATTTTAGAGAAATAGTGTGTAAATTTTGCTTTTGCTTAGCATATAACTAATTTACGCATAAGCACCTACCTGTAACAACTTGTTGAATACCTCATACCTCACATAATGTTGATTATTTTAGCATGATGATTGGATTGTTTCTCTACTACTACTTATAGACGAAATCAATTATTGTAGAAACGTATATAAACCTTTCCAGTGTAGAAGAATAGAATCAAAGAGATAACTTTTTAATTTCAAAAGAACAAAACACTTTTTTTTTATGCAAAATTAAAAAAAAAAATTAATTGGAAAAAACATTTTTTTATCGCGTTCCTTTTTAATAAACTTCAGAGAAGTTTTCATTTTAAAGTAAATTTTAACTTTTCCATTTTGGATTTGGTCAAAGAAAATATTTTTTTTGGATAAATATTATGAGAGTATAAATTATATAAATTTGTTTAAATTCCATTAAAAAAAAGAGTCCTGTCAAAATTTCTAGTCTCCAGGCTTCACAGTTTATGTATATTTCACATTTTTTCTATTTAAATTCCATTATTCAAATCTCAATTTTATTATTTTAGCTGAAATTCTAAACCTTTATCAAATAATTCAATTTTTTAACCAAAATTCAGATTCAAAAAACAATGGAAAATAATTTAATGTAATATTCACTATTAGTGTAAAAATTAAATTTAATATTTTTTTGTTTTTTACGGAAATTAATTTTCTTATTTTTTAATAAAAATTAAAAATTTTGAAAATATTTTCTTAATATACATGAAAACGATTTCTAGTTCAAAGAATTGATGTTCTAATTATTCCAGACATTTAAAAACATTTTTTTTATTACTTAACTATTTGGAAGTATTTATTTTGTTTGTATTTAAAGGAATTTTAATACTGTGAAGCCGGAGTATTGTCGATTGCATGATAATTTTATTTTATATTTTTTTTTTGGTCGGAAAATAAGTAGACTCTATTGCACAACGTCGACAATAATATTGCAATGGAAAGTTTTGCCACGAGTTAAAGTTTTAGTCCAAAGAATTTGATCTTCTCTGAATTGTGGTGTATTTGCAATAGTCAAATGCCAAAGTTTGGAGTATTCGACAAATGGTTATAGGGGAGACAGCCTAATCCAAATAATCCGATGGAGTACTGTTCAACCATACCACCTTTGCAACAGTTAGTTGGTGGTTTGCCTCCACCTCCCACGGTCATGGTTCCAGTTGGAGTTCTCAAGAGGGAAGGAAGCACGAAGCAACGATCAGAGGGACAAAAATCCGTAATGTTCAGTGACGGTAATTTTTTTTCCACCTTTCAATAATATTACTAATATCAATATTGATAATTTATCAATTAAATTAATATTTACTAATTAATAATTGCTCTTTAGAGTGAATTAACATTTGTAAAGAAAATAATTTTTTTTTTTCAAGAGAAAGCAACTGAAATTTAACTTGTTTGTACTCATTTGAAATTGAAATTGAAACTGTAATTTATTTTGGATTTAGATTATCCGATTTATCAACGTTAAAACTATTGTTAATTTTCAATTTTTTATTGATTTAAATCTAGAGTGTCAAAAAATAATTTCTAATGGTATTTCTTTTGAGTCTTGTAAGGAAATAATTTTGAATTTCTCTAAAATAATTCTTAGATATTCTAAGACGAACTCGAAAATACACAACACTACATATTTTTTTAATTATCATTTTGTTTTTGGAAGTATTTTTCTCGAAATACTTCCTTAGTCTCTTTGGTTGCTTATCTTTTTTGATTTTTGTTTGATTAATTTGATTTAAACCACATATTGTCATCAGATACAGTTCTCTTTTTATTTTCTCCATGGAACACATGAATGCGTGTTTCAAATTTGCCCTTCCCGTTTGTTTTGTTTTCACACACCTCTCACTAAAACACAGGAATAAGGCCTGGCTGTGACCTAACAGAACTCGACACGTCCTGGGATCTGAAGCCGCCCTCGAGGAAAGTTGGAAGTAAACGAATAGCAGCCTCTGGTTTTCCCTCTTCGTCAAATATTGCCAAGAAGCAAAATCTTCCGCCACTGGATCCAAATACAAATAGCTACATTCCCCAGGATGCGAATGCATTACCGCCAACTGTTAATATTCACAAAGGACGTAAGAAAAATATTGATAACGAATTTCTTATTTTTTAATTCTTAAAATTTAATTATTCAACTTTTTTTATTTTCAAAAAATATTCGAAATTCAATTATTTTCAATACCTAGTATTTTTATAAAATTTTCCAAAAGAATTCAATGATTAAAAAAAACGTAAAATTCATTAAAAATTCAATTATTTTCATAAATAATAAAACCCATCGAATAATTTCAATTGATGTTAATACCACTTTTAATTAATTAATCGAAAAATTCAATTATTTTCACAAATAAAGTTTTCCACAAGAATTCAATTATTTAAAATAAAATTTTGAAATTTATTATATTCCGAAGAAATTAATTATTTAAAACAATGTTTATAAAATCCTTATGAAGGATTCAATTATTTTCAAAAATAACAAAATTTTTCACAGAAATTCAATTCGTTTTAAACGTTTTAATAACATTTTTCGCAATAATTCAATTATTTCCATAAATATTAAAATTCTTCTCAAGATTTTAATTATTTTTAATACAATTTCACAGGAATTGCTCAAAAAATATAATTATTCTTAAAAGTTTAATTTCAATTCCAAGAAAAAATCAATTATTTAAAAAAATATTTTTTTAAAAGTCTTTGGAAGATTTCAATTATTTACAAAAATATTAGAATATTAGAATTTTTCACAGGAATTCAATTATTTTTAAATATTTTAATAAAATTGTTCGAAAGAAATTTTAATTAAACTTTTTTGAAATAATTCAATTATTCTTTCAGATTTTAATAAAATTATTCCCAAGAATTAAATTATTTACATAAATAATTCTTCAAAAGAATTCAATTATGTCGATAAATAACAATATTTTTCCCAGAAAATTCAATTATTTTGAGGCATGATAATAAAATTCTTTGCAAAATTCAATTATTTTCATAAATAACAACATTCATCAAAGGAATTCAATTCTTTTAAAAAATTCTAATAAAATCATTCACAAGAATTCAATTATTTTTATAAATAATAAAATGCTTCTTTAGAATTGAATTATTTTCAAAAAAAATTTAATAAAATGGCCACGCAGACATTGAATTATTCTGAAAAATTTTAATAGAATTCTTTGTAAAATTTAATTATTTCCAATAACTTTTCGCAATTCAATGATTTTTAATGTCTACCATTTTTATAAGATTTTCAAACAGAATTCGATTAATTAAAAATTTTTTTGTAAAATCTTCGTAAAGAATTCAATTATTTAAAAAATTTTTTTGTAAAATCTTTGTAAGAATTCAATTCTTTTCATGAATGATAAAAAATTTCTGAGGAATTCAATTATTTAAATTATAATTTACATAAAATTAGTCGAAAGAAATCAATTATTTAAAATTTTTTTTACAAAATTCTTCGCCAAAATTAAATTATTTTTATAAATATTTAAATTCTTTCATGAATAATAAAATTTCGTTGCAGGAATTCAATTTATTGGCAGGATAAGAAAGAAGTAAATATTTTTGATGAAAATTAGGAAGTAGTCAGGAAAATAAAATATAAAATGGAATTTTTGTCAGTTTTGTGAAGTTTGTAAAACGAGTTTTTTTGGTCGTCAAGTTTAATTTTTCGATAGCTACTTTTTTACTATTTTTTTTTATTTTGAAAGCTCCTTTTTGCTGCTTTTTTAAATTAACTATCTAGTTCGAAGTCTGTTAGTATATTTTTTGCTTTGCGAATATTTTATTGCATATTATACATTATTTTTTTTAATTGAATATAATATTTAATATTTATATTTACGAATAATTTGAATGTCTGAGTTTAAATTTAGATAATTTTAATGTTAAAACGAATTATTTTCAGAAATCACGTACACCGATGTTTTGGATCAAAACAGTTTATTCGCCACCTTACGAAATGAATGCGAACCCGCTGTGATGTTTGCTATTAATCGAAATCTCTATGCGTACATAAAAATAATTAATTGTGAGTAGAAAAATTTTCATGAAAACGAAATTTAATAATAACTATTTTTAATAATATTTTTAATAATATTTTTTTTAATAACTATTTTTAATAATATTTTTTTTAATAACTATTTTAATTTTCACACAGTGAGTTGCTGTGTGAACAAAATATGTTGGAACATCACCTCAAAAGGTCTTTCCTGCGTGGGCCAGGACGAAGTTATATTTTTAATAGAGACCCTACCTGATGAAACGCAAATTCCAAAAGACGTTCTGATACATATTAATCAGATTTACATGGAATCAATGAAAGGTAAATTTTTAAAAAGAAATTAATGTATTATTTAATTCTTAAACTGGAATTATTATTAATTATTTTTGTTTTTTCTTAATTACCACTCTGAAAGTATTTATCAAAAATTGATTATTTAAAGTAATAATTATTTATTACTCTAGGAAATACAATAACGGAGAACGGTGTTTCGATACATCAGAACGGAAATTTATTGGGATCTCGAGAACATGCGGGATTTCTTTTCATTCGTCAAACTCTTCAGTGTCTGCAAAAAATTGTTCTTCCCCCATCTCCTTTTCTTGTCGGTTTGTTAGTTCACAGGTGAGGAAATTTTTAATTTATCATGAAACTCAATTTCAACTTTGATTAATTTTTTATTTATTAATTTATGTTAATAAATAAAAAATTAATCAAAGTATAAACAAAATATAAACATAAATTAATAAATAAAAAATTAATCAATGTTATTTATTTATTAACATAAATTAATAAATAAAATATGAATTGATTTATGTATTTTTTTAATTGGAATTTCTTTTTAATTTGAATGTGTTGGTTTTACTATTTCAGGTGGGAAACTCCTTGGGCGAAAGTGTTTCCACTGCGGCTCGTTTTGCGACTAGGCGCCGAGTACAGATACTATCCATGTCCATTGGTCTCGGTTCGATTCAGAGAGGCAGTTTATTTTGAAATTGGCCAAACGGTAATGAAGGTACTCGCTGATTTTCGAAATTTCGCCTATACATTGCCAGCGGTGCGTGGTTTGACGATACACATGGAAGGGACAACAACATTTGTCAGATTTCCAAAAAATCGTTACGATCAAGTTATCAAAGGCTTGAATAATTCGAATGATCATGTATTGGCATTCGCAGCGAATTTCAGTGTTCAAGCTGATTCACATTTAGTTTGCATACAAACGAATTCTGAAGAGGAAAGCAGTTATCAAACTCAGGCCATTAATATTGAAATTAAACCGAGAAAAGGTAGAGTTTCTTTGTAATTTTTCTCTAACGTGATCAAAGTTTTATTATATTATCATTTTATTATTATATATTATATATTATTATATTATATTATCAACATTATTCATGATTTTTTTCAGACCTGAGAAACAGGGAGAAAGGGTTTAAATACTAAAAACAAATTTTATTGTTTAAACAAATTAACCTAAAATTCATAATTTTTATTTTTAGTGATTTTTTTCTGAAAGTTAAGTATTTTGAGCACAAAAAATGTTCAGAACAATTTTTTGTAACTCAAAGCAAGAAAAAGTTATTTTCAAAATAAAAAAATTTTACAAAAATTTATTAATGCAAATATCTAGAAAAATAAAAATAATTTTTTATTGTTACTTAGTATACTTCATTAGGACCCTAATCACTCTCAATTCTCATAATATGAGAAAAATCTGAGACATCATATGTCGTTTTCGTATGAAACGCCCCATATATATTTAACTAGTTTTATTAAAAATAATAGATTTATAGAAGAATTTTAGTTAAAAACACTAAAACAAATTCAATTTTGAAGCAATGACAAATGAGTGCAGAAATTCAATTTTTTTGCAAAAGTAGTAAAATTCTTCTCAGAAATTCAATTATTTCCAAATTTTTTTATAAAATTCTTGGCATTTTTATTATTTTCAAAAACTTTCCTCAATTCAATGATTTTTAATATCTACTACTTTAATAAAAATTCCTAAAAGAATTTAATTATTTACAAAAATTATGTATTATTCAATTATTTTCACGAATAATAACATTTTTTACAGAGATTCAATTATTTTTGTAATTACTTAAAATTTTTTTTAGGAATTCAATTATTTTTAATACAAATTTAATCAAATTCCCGGAAAAAAGTTATTATTCTTAAAAATTTTATTAAAATTTATCAAAGAAATTTAATTATTTTAATAACCTTTGCTACAATTTATTTCTTAGAATTTAAATATTATTTTTAATACATTTTTAATTAAATTTCTTTAAAGAATAAAATTATTATCCAAAATTTTAATGAAATTCTTTGCGTAAGAATTTAATTTTTTTCAAAATAATTTTAATAAAATTCTTCACAGAAATCAAATTATTTTTAAAAATTTACAACAATTCTCGTCAAATAAATAATAACATTTTTATCCGAAATTCAATTATTTTCAAAACTTTTAATATAATTCTTTGCAAGATTTGAATTATTTTCATTATTTTCAAAAATAATAGAATTCTTCGAAGAAATTCAATTATTCTCAAATTTTTTGATAAAATTCGTTGCAAGAATTCAATTATTTTCAAAAATAATAGAATTCTTCGAAGAAATTCAATTATTCTCAAATTTTTTGATAAAATTCTTGGCAGAATTTCAATTATTTTTAATACAATTTTCATCAAATTTCTCAAAAAATGCAATTATTCTTAAAAATTTTATTGAAATTTGTCAAGAGAATTCAATTATTTAAAAAATTGATTCTTTATGAAAATTCAATTTTAAGAAACATTCAATTGTTTAATAAAATATTTATTTTTATAGTTAAAAATTGAATTCTCGTAGAATTTTCTAATAAATATCATGATTTAAAAATGAATTTCAGATTAAAATCTTTGAAAATTTGAATTTTTCATACTTTTAATTAAGAATTCTATAGAATTTCAAATTTTTGAATATCTTAATGTCTATAAAAAATAATGATTAAATATTTATTTAAAAATGAAGTTATTGATGTTTTCGAATAATTTTCGTTTTCAGTTACTGGAGCAAGTTTCATTGTTATTAATGGAGCACTAAAATCATCAATGGGCCTTTCTGCGAAGACAAGCATTGTTGAGGATGGATTAATGGTGCAAATAATGCCCGAGAAATTAGAAGCCTTGAAAGCTGCTTTGAAAAATATGCAGGAATTCACGATAGGTTGCGGTAGACAAGGAGCTCCTGAACCCGATGAAGTTGTTAATATAACATGGGTGGAAAATGATGTTTTATTTAACTTAGGGTAAGTAAATTTTCCATTTTGAACTTTAAAGTAGGAAAATTAAATTAAAAATTATAGCAGGGCTGCCACAGGTCAGGGAATTCAGGGAAATTACAAATAATTACAGAAATTCAATTATTTTCAAAAGTAATAAAAATCTTCGCAGAAATTCAATTATGCTTAACATTTTTTTTTAAATTCTCGTCAAAATTTCAATTATTTTTTATAAATAATAAAATTCTTCTCGAAAATTTAATTATTTTCAAAAATTTTAATAAAATTATTATCTAAATTGCAATTATCTTTTTAAAAAATAAAACATATATAATATAATCTTTTTATAAAATTCTCCGAAATTCAATTATAATTTCAAAAATTGTAATAAAATTCTTGGCAAATTTTCAATTATTTTCCAAAATTTTCCTCAAAATTGATTAAAAATTAATAAATTAAATTTAAATTTGATGAAAAATTAATGAATTAAATTCGAATTTGATTTGTTTACAGAGTAAAAAGTCCGATTGATAGTAAACCAATGGATGGAGTTCCATCGATTCGAGTTCACAATGGTGTTGATTATGTAGGAACAAGCAGGTTTATCCGATGGACCGAAGTATTTATAATTAAGGTTTCTGTTTAAAGTTGATTATATTTTTTTTTTTACACTCATTTTTTAATTTAATAAATTTTAATATAATTATTTCTACTCAATAGTCTGATGATCATCCAACTGGTGTTCATGATCCTGTGGATATAAATAAACTTTCGGAGAACATAGCCAGAGCTACATGCACAGCTCTCGTCAAATTATTAGATCTTTTAGCAGCAGCCGGACTCACAAAACTGGCTGTAAGGACCACTATTCATCCAGACAATGTAAGTTGTCTCTTTTTAATAATCTCTTGGTTAAAACACAACCAAAAAGTTTATTAATCCTGAAAATAATACTAATTTCCATTAAAGTTGTTAATTTTAATTAAATTAATCAATTTTGATTTAATTAGTTAATTTCAATTAAATTAGTCCATTTGAATTTAATTATTAAATAAAAAATTTCAGGTTGGATATGAAGCCGGAAGCGAAGGCACGCGATTGCCTCCAATTTACATGAATAGTCTGGATAATGAGCTAATTCAAGTTTTGCAAAAAGCCGTACAAAGTAGTCAGGATACGTATACAGTCCTCGAATTAGTCTTCTACATATTGGAGTCTGAGAATTATTGTGTTTAAAATTTTCAAAGACTTTCAAATAAAAACAAAAAAGAGTTTTCCTCACGAATGGGTAATGTGCAATGTACATTTGAAAGTCTTGTAACTTAACTTGAATTACATATGAATCTTTCTTTTTTTATAATTTCTTTTCTACAAATATAGTAAAAAGTGTATTTCAAGTTTAGTGACACAATAGTGACTATTAAAAAAAAGTAAAATAATTCTCAAAAAAAAATAAATATCTAGCAAAAAAATAATGCGAAAATTATGAAACATCTTCCAGCTAAAAATCTCAAGCCTGAAATTTTCAAAATAAAATTCTTAACAGGCATTGTAGAACAACTTACATAGCTTTAGCTTTTTTCAAGCGTAACATTTATATGAAATATATCTATATATCTTTTAATATTTTTGTATAAGCTTTGAAATCTTCTTTTACATCTGCATTTTATTATTTTCTATATTTAAAACTATTTAATTTGTTATGAAAAAATTTATTTTTATCTCAAAATCCAAAAAAAAAATGTAATTGTAACTCTACGAAATTTTTGAGAATCAAGAGAATTTGAAAAAATTATGTCAGGGATTTTTTTTTTAAACTAAATTTTGAAATAAATGTACAATATTAAAAATTAAAACATGATTTTAAAGAATAAAAAAATATGTACATTTTTTCTACTTGAAATTTTTATGAAATTCTTCTAAAATGTACAGTTTATCTTTTCGAAGGGTAGGAATTTATTATACAATTCTTTATCGTCATGTTACTAACCATCGTTCTAATAAAATGTTGAAGCTAATGTAATTTATATTCTTAACTTATGTTTGAAGCGAAAAAAAATTAACATCATGAATAAACATAAGTCCTTTATTTTTATCTTTATTATGTATCTCTCAGAATATTTTCTGAGTTTCTGAATTGCAACACAAAAAAAAAACAAAAAAAAAAAGGATATCTTCTCAGGATAGAACAATTTAAGCAATTATTTTGTGTTTTATAGATTTGAAAGATGAGATGAATTTATGCAGTGTAAATGTGATAATAGAGCAAATAAAATTGTACATACATTACACTACTATACTTTTTTCACTCCGATTTTATTTTATCCATTTTATCCTCATCTTTTTATTTTTTAGCAAATATTTCTTTTTTTGCAACTAATTTTGAAATTTAACGAACCGTAATTTTTATTTATTTATAATTAGAGAAATTTTATTATCAAAATTATTATAATCTTAAATTTACTTCTTTCTATTTTTAAATTATTGTTTAAATTAAAATATTTTAATTCTATTTATTGATTTATTCTTTTATTTACTGTTTTATTTTTATTTATTTTCCTTATTTTATTATTATTTTTTTATTTTATTTATTATTTTATTATTTAAAAATTTTGACAACAAACAGCAAGATTGTTAATTATTAATTAATTAATTACAATAATAATGAAAATTATTTTTTCATTTTGAGTTCTTGTTATATAAACATTTTGAAATTGGCGCCACTTTGACGATTGTTGCGCTAACTTCAAGTCACATGCTGAACTAAAATATTGAGTCGTTTCGCACTTCGTTTCGGCTCTGAAAAGCATATAATATCAGTTGCGCATTGTAAAAATATAATTCCGGTGATAAAAAAAATGTTCGAACAGTGAAATTCAAATAGCTAGTGAATTAATCTAATTTCTGACACATCTTCGGATTGATTTTGCGGTGAAACATTTTCAAGAATTTAATCAGACAAAATGGACAAGAGAAAATTGTCGTAAGTATCTTTCCTTGTGCGCAAGGAGTTTTCATTTCTATATTGCAATTTTCACACCTTATTCCCATAATTTCAATTTTGAATAATAATTCTATTTCAATTGTGAATTACAATTATTCATGACAGTTAATGAATTGTTTATAAGGAAAAATAAATTTTCTTCACGCATATAGGTTAGAAGACGGTTTGCTGCGACGAAAAAGTCCCCTCCTCTTTTTTCTTTTAACGAATTTCTGTCGCATTTGTCCTTGACACCACCCGTGTATGAACTTTTATTCGATTTATTCTTTAATCCTCTTTCAGTGTACTTTCAACCCTTATATGATCTGAAATCAGACTTGTATGAATTTTCTCCTTTCTTTTCATATAATGCTAATTACCTGTCTCAATTTTTTTTTCATCCATTTTGTCTATAAAGGGCGATGTACATACGAAATACAAATTTTTAGTTTTCTATCCAAAAAATATAGACAGCATATTTTTCTCAAAGTATATTTTCTCTAATTATCTCTAATTATAAATACATTCTTTTGGATTGAATTATTAATGATAAAAATACATTTAGTTTTGAACAGTATGTTTCTTCTAGAATTTGCAATTCAGCACATTATGTTTTTTTTTTTTATTGAAAGAGATACGTTTTAGAGAATGTTATGTTAGCTGAGTTGAAAAAGAGAAAATAGGATTCGTTTTGCCCGGTGAAAAGAAATTGTTGATTTTAATTCGTTTTAAAAACTGACAATACTTTTTAGTAACTTATATTTTTTTTGCTGTAAACTTTCTATTGAAGTGGAGAATTTTATTAAAAGTTATATTATAATAATTTAGTTAATAAAATTTTCCTGCCTTTGTTGGCTATATTTTTCTCTGCACATGAATAATTTTAAGCGTGACTCTCTTTACTTTAACGTATAGGAACTGGCATTTTGTTATCACTTTAACTTTGTTGAATATTATAATCACTATGTACTTAATTTTATTTTTTTTTCTATTCGCAGAACTTCTGGAGATTCGCTTTATGCAATTTTGGAAATTCCTAAAACTGCCACTGCAGATGAAATTAAAAAAACGTACAGAAAATTAGCACTCAAATATCATCCAGATAAAAATCCAAATAATCCAGAAGCGGCAGAAAAGGTAAATAAAAATTTGCATTTTAATTATTTAGTTTATAATTTATAATTGTCATCAAATATAATATGTATAGTAAAATTGTTTTTTTTTAATTACTAAATTTATTTTGTATTTCAGTTCAAAGAAATAAACAGGGCGCGAGCAATTTTGTGCGATTTAACGAAACGCAACATTTATGACAACTATGGGTCCCTTGGTTTGTATGCTGCTGAGCAATTCGGCGAAGAGAATGTTAACTCCTACTTTATTATCACATCCAAGTGGACCAAGGTGGGTATTTTTTCTTTTTACGATTTTTACCCCAAATTCATCGTCGCAATGTTTCTTTTTCTTTTATTAGTTCAAATTGACCACACCTTTTTTTTATTTACTTTTTCTTTCTCACAGAGAACAAATTTTATGTTTAATTCTAAAAATTAAATTTTTACCCAAAAATGATACAAAATAATTATACAAGAATTAATTTTTATTTCGATTTGCAGGCAATCTTTGCGTTCTGTGGAATCATTACTGGCTGTTATTGTTGTTGCTGCCTCTGTTGCTGTTGCAATTTCTGTTGCGGAAAATGTAAACCAACACCGCCGGAAGACAGTGGAGACTATCACAATTTGCAGGTAATAAACTATTACATATTATAATATTATTATTTATTACGGAATTTTTCTTCCGCGTAAATTCTCTTTTTCTCTCTCACAAAAAATTCCGAACAAAAAATAAATTAGAAATTTTATTTTTAATGCAATTAAGATGCATAAATTTTCCTCGTTAGTTTTTCCACACTGAAGTAAATTTCAATTAGGAATAGAAGAAGAAAAAAAAATATTTCGCAATATGAATTTCATTAGAAATTTGTATGTAAATTGTAAAATTATTTATTTTCATTGAAACATTCGCTTTTGCTTTTCTATTCAATGTACAATTGTGATTGGGAAACTTAGTTTTCTTGTCATTTTGTCATTTACGATGAAATAATCTGTATATGTTTATTTAATGTTTAGAATTTGTTTTTTATTTTCAACTTTATTTTCTAATTTTAAATTTATTTTTAATATTTTAAACTTTGAACTATATTCTAAAATTAATTTTGAACTTTATTTTAAATTCAATTTTGAATTCCGAACCTGATTTTGAACTATATTCTAAACCTAAGTTTGAACAACATTTTTTATTTTGAAACTACGAAACAACTTTTTTTTTGTCGAATGAAAATAATGTGTATGCAATGAGATCGACTTTATTACAGAACGACTACTCTTAAGATTGCATGACACGATAAACAAAAAAAAATATTTTTAAACACCTCTTTAAAAATATTTTTTTGAAAATTTCGTTTAATTAAACAATTTTTTTTTATTTTTTTTCAACTATTTGCAATAGTCGAAGATTAAAAACTCTGATACCACCTTTACCTAAACTTCAAGTCGAAACGAAATTATTGACGTAAAAAAAATAATTTTGATTAAAAAAAATCTAACACTGCTTAGTAATTAAAATAGAACCGTTTCTCGTGCATGCTGAGACCTTGTGAGCTTTTTTTTCTATAAAGAAAACATGCTTCTCTGTGATTTAAAAAGCTGCTTTTTAAAATATCCTTGTGAATTGAAAATTGTAATTTCACGTTGAATGTTGAAAGTTTTGGCTTTTATTTTTTTTTCTAAACAAAATTTATGCTTAGAAAGCTCGTTAAAATGCAATAGAAAAAAAAAGAAAAATAATTATTGCCCAGTGCATGTTTCTCATGATGGAGGCGAAGGTAGGTTTCCTCAAAAAAATCTAGACGTTGAAGTGAATAAAATTTTTCTTACGTTTATATGCGTGCAGTTTTCCATTTGTTAAATTAGTTTTGTAAAATTTCTTCCACTATAGATAATATTAAATATTGTGAATATGACATTCAATGACGATTGTATTGTGCACGAGGGCTTTAGGAATCACTATCAATGTGACGTACATTCAAGCATATCAGTTTTTTTTATAGATGAATCTATTTTTATAAAGACACGTTTGTAATTATTTTCATTGATATGATTTAATTGAATTGAATTCGGTTATATTTAATTAATATTACTATAATATTATTTTAGGTATACCTTATTTTATTATAATTTAATAAAATTTATAAAACTATATTTAATGAAATTTATTAAACTATATTTAATGAAATTTATTAAACTATATTTAATGAATTTTATTAAATAGTTTATAGAAATATCAATCAATTTAATCACGAAGTAGAAATTATTGTCAATTCTAAGATAATTTTTTGATTTTATTTCTTTATTTTATTTTATTTATTTATTTTTTTTTTTGATAAGAGAAAATCTAACGATCTTTTTTTTTGCTTCATTATGCGTCACATTGAAGTAAATTCGGAGAAATTAATTAATTTATTTAGATTTCACTGAAAAATATCAAGTTTAAATTTTTATAAAGAATAATTTCTTGCAAATCGCAACGTTATTAATTAGAAAAAATTTTTTAAAAATATTTTTTATTGTTACGAACGGGATCTTAAATTCTTTCTAGAATTATTGATTGATTTTAAATCTTACTTTCATGTAGCGAACGTGCTTAACAATAGATTAGAATTTTACACTGATGTAGCATGGTGATTAAAACATTTTTTTTTCTTTTGGTTCACTTTAATAATTAAAAATTAAATAGTATTTTGTAATATTAATTTTTAATAGGATTTTTCAATAGTATTTTCAATAGTTTTATTTAACACAATTTTTCAATAGTATTTTTTAATAGTATTTATTATTTAAAAATACTGTTAAAAAATTAAAATAAAATCACTATTAAAAAAATTATTTAATAGTATTTTTAATAGTATTTTTTAATAGCATTTTCAATAGTATTTTTTAATAGTATTTATTATTCAAAAATACTGTTAAAGAATTAAAATAAAATGAATATTAAAAAAATAATTTAATAGTATTTTTTAATAGTAAAAATTCCATAGTATTTTTTAAATTATTTCTGAATTTTCGTTTATTAATTAGTTAATTAATAATTAATTAGTTACTTAATTAATTAATTAGTTACTTAATTAATTAATTAGTTACTTAGTTAATTAATTATTCAATTAATTCATTAATTAATTACTCAATTAATTCATTAAATTATTAATTTTCGTATATCAGCTTTACTTGAAGGTAGTGAAAAATTTGATTGCTTTAAAATTAGAGTGCTTATTCGTAAATTTTTGTTCGCCTCTCTTCAATCATGAAAAAATGAATTGCTGCAGCTTTTTTTCTTTAAAATTGTTTTAGAAAAAAATTATTCGATTTCTGTATAATTTTTTTAACAATGAAGATATCTTTTATCAATTGTTCAGCCTCATCAATGAGTCACTGGCTGGAGGTAAGTTAACATCAGTCCCGGTATAGAGCATTATTCTTTCTGTATTTTTAGACGTTTTTTTATTATTCTTTCGTTATCTATCTTCTCACCTGTAGAATATCAATCTTTCATTTAGTACATAATAATTATCGTCACGCATTCTATTTACTTTTCAAATTCCCTGAGTTCACTTTAAAACAAAATGAGAGACTCGTGAAGTAATTATGTTAATATTAATTTATTAATTTTTATTAATTAGTTAATTATTTAATTAATAAATTACTTATTACAAATTAAATAATAAATATTGTCATATATAGATTAATATTTAATTATCATCCTATTCATTAAGATTTAATTATCATATTAATTTCTACGTAATTATCATATTAATTACTATGTAATTATCATATTAATTACTATGAAATTATCATATTAATATTTAATTTTCATGATAATTAGTATTTAATGATCATAAAATTAATATGTAATTAATATCTACCAGAAAATTTCAATTGTCATCAAAATTCGAAAAATTTTGTTTTAATTAGTTTTGACAATTTTTTCTATGAAAGAAATTAAAATTTTCAAATTAAATGAAAATATTTCTAAATGAGTTTCTCATTTTTTTTTTGTGCTCCTTGAAAAATGTTCACTTCCTATCATGCACGTTTTAAAGCTCACGCGTTCATTAATTGGTATTATAGAAAATTGTCATTTGTACATACATTACATACACATCTTTTCATTCGAGTATTCAACATTTTTTATATTATTCTATTAAATTGAAAATAAAAGGGAAGCAAATTATTAATTTATTCAATTTTTAACGATTTTAAAAATTTATTATTATATGAAAAATAGTTAAAAATAATAATAAAAATATATTAATAAATAAATATTATTATTAGTTTCTGAATAACACTTTTGTCGAAAAAAAAAAATTTGCTTCCTTTTTCTTTTCGAATTTTGTTTTTTTAAATAATTCATTTTTAGTTATTAAATGTTTCATATCATCATGAATCAGCATTTATTATTTTGTTCATTACTTGAAAAATTGAAAGTCAAATATCTTTCCTCCGTTATTTGTATATTTAATATTTATGTATAATTTATTAAAGACTATTTGAATATTAGTATAAATATTAAAGAAAATAATTTTAGAAAATAATAGAGAAGTTTTTTTTTAATAATTATGCAAAACGAAAATTTTTAATATATTCTAATAGAGTAAATTAATTATCAAGAATTAAATTAAATTAAGTTTTAGTTTTCTGTATAATATTTCTTTTTAATCTTAACGTATATCAGGGAATTTTTCTAGAGGAGACGAATTCATTATGTGAAGTTAAAAAAAATGTGTTAAATGAACACTTTAGATAAATTTCTCCCTTAATAATTCGTTCAGTCTGGCAATGTATCCTTGGCACTGAAACACCTTTATAAGCTTTTATTGATCTCTATCGCGTAAGCAGTAACGTCGGAATGGAATAATTTAAAAAAAAGAATTTTATATTATTAGCTCTCTCTCTCTCTCTCTAAATTCATTTTTCATTCTCATTCGCCTTCAAACGCTATAAAAATAGTATAAATTATTGTTTCTGACATTTTTTGATTATTTATTTAGTAAAAAAGGAAAATTTACATAAATTATAGTTAATTTTTAATATAATTTTTTAATTATTAAATTAATAGTATCTATTGATTATTCATGGAACTAATTATTATTAATTAATATTATTATTAATATTTTTATTAAATATTAATTATTAATTATTAATTATTAATAATTTAGTTAGTGAATTAAAAAAAAAGTTCGGTTAATTTATTATTTTTATAGTTTAAAAGTATTGCATTATTTTAATAGTTAAAATTCATTAGACGTTATTTTGTTTCGTAAATGAAAATTTAATTTGTTTTGTTTATGAAAAAGAAAATTTATTTTTGTTCACTTTTATTATAAATGAAATGAAATAACATTCGTTGAGCACTGCGAATGCATTTCATTGCCAAGCATGCCTTGTCTAGTTTATTTATTTATTTTTTTATTACAGGATTTTTTCATAGTTAGCAATTTTTCTTTACGTTGTTGTTGTTGTATTATAGCAGGACCAACAACCTGGGGCCAGTGTTTTGACGAGTCAACCGCAAAGTGTTCGTAAGTTTTTACTAAGTATCACCAAGCTTGATTTTGCACTGTCTTGCATATTATTTTTTTCTGAACAAAAATTTTTTTTTTCATCATAACGAGTGAGTTTTTCATTTTTTTTCTTTCATATTTAGTAATTCTTATTGTTACTCTATTATTTATAATGATTTTACTATATATCACAAAGTATTTAAAACAAACGAGTATATGATTTCGATTTGTACTTTTATGTCTTTGGAAATATTCTTTTTTCACTCTTTCTTTCTTTTTGTTCTTTTAAAGAATTAAAAATAATAAATTTAACTTTCGTTAATTCAATTAAATTTAATTATTTTTTTAATTATTCAAAAGAATTGTAAAAGAATTTTGGTGATGGGTTTTTAAGAAAAAATTTTTAATTAAATACAAAACTTAGGAGATATTTATTTGATTCAAGTAATCGATTAATTTCGTTTTATTATTTATCAAATAAGAATTATTTGATTCAAAATAAAAATTATTGGAACCAAATGAGAATTTTTTGGACCAAATAAGGATTTTTTGTAGCAATTAGCAACTCTTTGAACCAAATAAGATTTATTGCAATGAAATAAGAATTATTTGAGCTCAATAAAAATTATTTGGACCAAAATAAACATTATTTGAACCAAATAATGTTTTTTTGTACCAAATAAGAATTATTTTAATAAAATAAGAATTATCTGAGCTAAATAAAAATTATTTGGACCAAAATAAAAATAATTTTGAACCATAAAAGAATTCTTTGAACCAAATGAATTTTTACATTTTGAGAAAATTTTTTGGAGCTAAATATAAATATTTGTTTCAAATAAAATTTTTATTTTCAGTAAAAAACATTGTAAATCTGAAAAAAATGCTTTTCAATTAAATATAAATAGTTTTAAGACCGTGACAGTTTTTTTTTTATTTATTTATTTCAAATATTTTGCACTTGAATTCAAAATTAAATCGTCTGAATAAAATATTTCTCTGAGGCTAATTAATAATTACCCTCACGATATTAAATGAATTAGGATATTAAGAAAAAATTATTTTACTAACTCAAAAAAATGCAAATAACTTAAAAATAGAAAAAAAATAATAATAAAAAATAATTAAATTTTTCCAAAAAATTATATTATTGAATTTATTAGATATTTTTTTATTTATTTATTTTTACAGTTTTTTATTTTATCATCTTCTTTTGATCTCAAATGATAATTATCTTCTAAGAAAAAAAAGTTTCTCGCATTATAATCTTAGGAATTTGTATGAAAATTGTATAAGTATGACTGTAAGTTTAATGAAACATGATAATATTTCTAAAAGAACTGATATTTTTTAAAAATATTTACAAACAATTGCGTTTATTTTGAAACCATTTTTTTCTAAATGAATGTACAAATTTTTGATATTGTAATTGAATGAATTGAATTTTAATTAAATGAATGAATTTAATTAATTTAATTCATTGAATTATTAATTAAATTAATACAATTGATTAAATTTTGTTAATTAATTTATTAATTAAATAATTAATTAAAATATTTTACTATAATTAAAAGATATATATATATTTTTTTTAAATCTGAAATATTCGACACTTTAAAAATAATTCCAAACGGAATATTTTAATATATTTTAAAAATTGTAATTTTCTAAATTTTAATTAATTATATTTCTTATTTTGTTATTTAATTTTTGAATTTTAAATATTTTTATAAAATTAGACACAAATGTAACATTAACTTTCTTGGGACTGATTTTTTTGGTTTTAGTTATTTTTTTACAGCAGGAAATTTTTGGTTTATGGACAAAAATCTTTTAAGCTCGAATGTACTCTTGCTTTGAATTAATTTTAAGCTACTAACTAACAATATTATTTTACTGTACTAATAATTATTCGAAAAGTTACTTTTCAGGTGTTTGGACATTTTAACTACTATCACAAACGGTCGTTTCACATTATTTGAAAAATAATTACTTACAATTTTTTATTCTACTGCAAAAAAAATGATTTTCTCTAGTAATTTCTCAATTTATTTCTAATTTAATTTTTTATGTGTGTGTAAATTATTTTATTTTATGCGTCACTAATTTCTTTCAGTTTTTATTATTTTTCTACTTAAATTTTTAATATTATTTGTCTTTAATTTTTATCGCATTTATATTATTTTTCGTTAATTTTTTATCGAATTTGTATTATTTGTTGTTAATTTTTATATCGAATTTATATTATTTGTTGTTAATTTTTATCGTAAATTTATATTATTTGTCTCTCTAGCTTTTTTTATCGCATGCATAAGTATGAAAATTACCATGAATTATTCTTTTCAGAAACTTTTGAATTAATATTTTTATATTTAGATATTCTCCAATAACGCCCTTCTTGTTCGAGAGAGATGGCAACTAACAAATAATGTATCGTTTGATTATGGAAGACATCGCATGTTATCTGAGTGGTGGTACATATATAACAAAATTTTATTGTGACAAATAGAAATTTGCACTAAAATAACCAAAAAATTGGATGCAATTAACGAGCACTACATATTTGCATGTTTGGAATGGTTTTTCTTTTCTCTAATAATAATAATAATAATTCTTCACATAATCATAAAAAATTCATACATATCATCATCAATCGCTGATGGGTCTATTAATGAGAAGCATTCAAAATGTAAATTTTATTTTTCCATAAAAATTATTTTATACAAATTAATTTGTATACATTAGTGGAAATTTGTATTTACATTCAAAAAAAAATTTATTAGTGAATTTTTTTTACAGTTAATTGTTTGACTGAAAAGGAATTTATTGATCATTTGTACATAATTGTAGTGTTAGAATTTTTTAAGAAAGAAAATTTTAACACTGTAGTTACAAATCAATAATTTGTTAGTATAAAATTTTATGCTCTATTTTTTGTAACGAAATTTAGTTTCATTTGAAGTACTATGGTAAAAGTGGTACGAAAATTTTTTTCTCTTCTACGTGATTTTGCAATTTTATTGCTAATAAATTTAATTATATTTAATTTTTTTTTTCATTCAGAGAAAGTGTCAAAAATGCAAAATTTATCGTTTTATCAATTTTTTATTGACTCGAATTTTTATTCAGGGGAATTTTCAATTATTATTCGAGTATATTTAGTCATTTGTGAGACTGTAAAAGTTACAAGAACTGAGAATATTTTGTCTGACTGTAACTTTTTTTATTTTTGTTTTTAATTTTAGTATTTTCATTATAATTAATTTTAATTTTTTTGTACTTTTATTATTGAATTATTTTTTTTACTTTTATTGTTAAATTATTTTTTTTACTTTTATTGTTTAATTTTTATTTTTTACTCTTATTTTATATTTTTCGCTTACATTACTTATTTTTTTCCTTTTATTACCTTGTTTTCATTTTTTTATTTCCACTTATTTATTGTCAATAATTAATTATTTGTCGATTATCAAATGACTATTTGTATCAAATAATCATTGAACCAATTATTATTTACTTTAAATGAAATAATTCTTTTTCTATACAATTTATTTGCCTTGAATGAATATTATTTGATTTGATTCAAAATTTTTAAAAGAAAATAATTTTTTTGAATAAAAATGATTTGTTTCGATAAAAAAATTTTGTATTGTATGAAAATTATTTGTTTTGATTAAAAATATTTGGATCGAATAAAAATGATTTGTTTCGATTAAAAATATTTTTTATCGAATGAAAATTGTTTGTTTCGAAAGAAAATTGTTGGTTTCGAATAAAAGTGATTTTTTCGATTAAAAATTTTTTTATTGAATGAAAATTATTTGTTTCAAAAGAAAATATTTTTTTTATGAAATCAAAATTATTTGTTTCGGTAAAAAATATTTTCTATTGAATGAAAATTATATGTTTCGAAAGAAAATTGTTCCTTTCGAATAAAGATGATTTGTTTCAATTCAAAATTTTTGTATCGAATGAAAATTATTTGCTTCGAAAGAAAATATTTTTTTTATTAAATCAAAATTATTTGTTTCGATAAAAAATATTTTCTATTGAATGAAAATTATATGTTTCGAAAGAAAATTGTTTCTTTCGAATAAAAATGATTCGTTTCGATGAAAAATATTTTTTGTTGAATGAAAATTATAAGTTTCGATAGAAAATTGTTTGTTTCGAATAAAAATTATTTGTTTCAATAAGTTAATAATTGTTTCGACAATAATTACAGATTTATTAATTTATTTTGTCTCAAGTATAATTTTTTTCAGTTCATGTTCAAAAAAAGAAAATCAAAATACTATCATGTCCGGTTCAATTATTCAACGCACTCGGACTCACGTTAAATTACCATTTCATAATTCAAAATTGATTTTTTGAAAATTGAATTTCTATACCTAATGAAATTCGTTTAAATCATTTAATTTGAATAAGAATTATTTAAATAATTATTGAATAATTTTTAAGCAATTATTAAATAATTATTGAATAATTTTTAAGCAATTATTAAATGATTATTCAATAATTATTTAAATAATTTCTATAAATGAAATAGTTTCCTTATTTTAATGAGGAAATAATAAATAATAAAAGCGAAAAAAAGTGGTGATTTCTGCACGTGTATGAATAATATTGAAATTGTGATCCTTGACGAAGGAATAAAAAGGAGTATTTGTTGAATATTATTTTCTTTTGTAATAATTAAAAAAAAAAAAAATGTTTTGTCAATCAGGAGGACGAGAGTGACGAGGATGCGGTGACTGCGCAACCTCTGGCTGGAGCAGCTCAGGGTGCACCAAGTAGTCAACCAGCTTTTGCAATGCCACCCCCACCATCAATGGCAAATGAAAGTACCACTTTGAATAGTGGCGGAGATCGTGTCAGCTATACCACCGGTATCTAGTTTTTCAAAAAAAAAAAAACAATCAAAGCACTGACACACTTGTTTTCCATCGCATAATAATTTTTATCGCAAAATAATTTCGCCAATCATACAATATGTAATACTAGTCTTTCTTTTCCATCAGTAGCTCTTTATTATTATTGCAATGGGAAAGTGAAAGTTTACACCAAAAAAAAAAAGAAAGAAAAAAGAAAAATATGATTTTTTCACTTGTTACAAAAAACATAATCACCTTATTTATTTGCTAAAAAAGAATTTTACAAGTTATTTATTTTTGTCAGAGGGGAATTTTTTTCCTTTTTTATTTTTTTATTTTTATTTATATTTTTTTAATCACAACTGAGAAAATCATGTTTTACTATCAAAAAGAAACAAAAATTAAACTTACTGCTAGATTATTCGTTTTATAATCTAGAATAATTTATATTATTTCTTTCACGAACCTCTTGCAAACTCGACTGGCACTTTTCGTGAAAATTTTAGTTTTGTTCTACTTTTTTACTGAAAGGGAAATTTATCGATTCAAATAATCATTTATAATCGATTTTTTATTTTTTTCAACTGCCAATAAAAATAGGAACTGGAAATTTATATTCTACAGGAAAGTAGAGAATTAATTTCAAAACAGTTTTGAATTTGAAATTTTGAAATTCACATTGTTTACGATCAACAATAATTGAGGGGAAAAAAATACTTTTTGTACAGAAAACAATATTTTTTCTATACACATTTTTCTTTCCGAAGTTTTTAATTTTTAATTTTACTATTATTTTTACTTTCATTATTATTATTATTATTATTATTATTATTATTATTATTATTATTATTATTATTTATTTTTATTATCAAAAAATCTTTTTTCTAGATTTAGAAGAAATAATATATTTCGATTCAAATTTTTGTCAACAAAAAAGTTCAAATTTAAACTTTAAATTAAAAATAAAAACTTTGTTGCCAAGAAATAATATGAAAAATATTTTTAGACAATAGTTTGAGTGAAAAAATATTTTTTCTTCTAAATCTTTTTATATTTAGATTTTAATTAAAAAAATTCTAAATAAAAATTTTAAGTTCTTTTTTTGATAATAAAAAAAATTTTAATAATAATAAATTTAATAACGATAAATTTAATAAAGAAATTAAATTATAAACGTTGTGAACTTTAGCAATTTTTTTAAAAATTTAGTTTTTTTTAAATAAATTAAATTAACTAGCAGAAAATTCCAGTTTCTACAGCAGATTTTTTTGCTTTGAAAAATTGTTAAATAGTTGTTAAAAAACAAAATAAAAATTATAAACTTGGATTTTTTTTGTTGAAAATATAAAAAAAAAGTTTTTTTTTAATTATTTGAATTAAATTTCTCTTTCAGTTTCTAATTTTTAATTGTAGATATATATATTTATGCATGATTCTGTTTACATACTGCTCGTGCTGTTTTCAGTCGACGTTGAATTTAAATTTTTATTTTTTCCGCACATACAGGAATGCAAGAGAAAATGTAACAAATTTAAAGGAAAAATTTGGAAAATGATATAATTTTTTACATTATTTTATTTTTTAAATTTATTTACTATTATTATTATACGATCTAAATTTATTGTTCCTATGTCGTATATTCTTGTTTTGAAGGAATTTTTCCATTTTTGTTTTTTGATATTATGTTGAAAAAAAAGAAACAATTTATTGTTTTCGAAGGGAAAATTTCTTTTTCCTTTCGATTTCTTTTTACACATGTTTTTAATTCCTTCAATATAGGAAATTACACAAAACTGCATAGTTTTTAATTTAAAATTTTTTTTTTTTGCCATTTAGTGAATAATTTCCATTTTTTAGGTATAAATATTGTGTACCTACTTTTTAAAATAATATTTGTAGTCGTTGTATTATTTGCTTCGATGAAATATATTTTATTTTACTTTTTTATTATTTATTTGTGATAAAACTTTATGAATAAATAATTTCATTATTTCGCGAATATTGAATTTAATTCAATGAATGAATTAAATTAAATACTGTTTTTTTATCTCATTATATTTATCTCTAATTTTCATCTTAAAAAAGAATAATTTTTCACGTAAAATAAATTATGATAAAAGTAAAATAATATCGTAGATGTTGTCAGAAATGAAAAAAGAATTTCAAATTGTACACAGAATGAAAGTCTAGATTTTAATATTTGCCTTTGTAAAATAATCAACTTATAATTTTTGAAGAATATATTTTCTTTTTTAAATTATTAATTATTATGCAACTTGTGTTATATTTATTTTTTTTAAGCAAATTAATTTAAGTTTTTTTTTTGCAGATTTTTAAGATGATTGTTATGCCTTACAATCACTATTGAAATTGTAAATTTTTTTCCAGCATTTTTTAAATTGATTAATTTTTGGTTTTCAGCTTTTTCATGAAAGTATTTTATTTTTTTGCGAAAGAATTTTTTTTAGATGTATGCTCGACTGTGTTGTGAATTTTCGCATGTTATTAAATTGCAAATAAATAGTTGTTTTTTGTATAAATTGATTATTCAGTCACTGCTATTATTTGCTGTTCTTTTTTTTTCGATAATAATTGATACTATTAATTAAATTATAATTATAATTATTAATATTATTTTAATTATATTTATTAAAATTATTTTAATTATAATTTAAGTAATATTAATTAAATATGATAATTAATAATATAAATTAATTAATAAACAATGTGAATATGCACATTTTTGAAAAACATTACCTACAATAAAGTGGAATCTCCAAAAGAAATTCATTTTCACAGAAAAAAAAAAATTAATTTCACAATGTTTGAAAATTATTTTTTTCCAAAAATAAAAAATATTTTTTATACTCATTTTAAATTAAGTTATCTTTGTAAATTGTGAAATTTCCTTTTGACGATTCGCACTTTAATTACGAAATGTTTTTCAAAAATAATTAAAAGTAGTAAATATTTTTTTTTTTTAGGAAAATTTTAATAACTCAATAAAAATTTTATTATTACTAATTTAATAATTTAGTGTCAGGAGCATCGACAAATCCATTTAGAGCAGCGCCATACCCTGGAACTGACCCAACAGCACCTTCCTGGTAGTTAAAAAAATTTTGAAATTAAAATGAAAATATGAAAAACGAAGAAGAACCGTCGCACTCGACTCATTATAGAAGATTTCGACAGTTGTCTGCATACTTATCCTCATGTACAAAACCTCCGAGTCGTATTTATTATTATTATAAAAATTCACTTAAAAAAAGTGAAAATTCACTAACAAAAAAACAAAAAAAAATCCGTTTGATCTAAACGAAAATATGTTTTTTTTCAGGAAAATTTCGTTTAATTTTTGGAACGAAAAATATTTATTCATGACGAATTTTTCAAAAGACTTTAGTTTATAATTTATTGTACTCTATATTTAAATAACTAGTCACAATTTTTTAATTATTAATTAATAAATAAATTTATTTATTTATTTTAATATTTATTAATTACATTAATTAACTATTTTTATTTTTCAGTACATTATATTTATTTCAGTATATTTTCATTTTTTTCTTTTATTAAAAGAAAATATTATATAATTATTTATTGTATTCTTCATTTAAATAACTAGTCACTATTTTTTAATTCTCCAATTATTAATTTATTTATTTACCTATTAATTTTAATATTTAATTATGTTTATTAATTATTTATTTTTCAGTACAATATATTTATTTCGGGTACATTTTAATTTTTACTTTTATTTCTAATTTACAATTTACGAATAATAGAAACTTTTCGAAATAAAAACCAACTCAGGTCTTAATTCTTATAAGTCCTGAAATTGTTTTTTTTTATTATAAAACAATAATAGTTTCTTAGAAACGATTAGATATATAATTATATCCAAAAAAAGTGTCTACGGTGTGAAAATTATAGATTGTAATTATAATTATTTGATTAATTAATTATATTATTATATAATATATATATATAATTAATTATGTTAATAAACATAAATATGTTCATGTTTTTCTTAGAATTTTTTCTAAGTATAAAATTTTACGCATACAAATTTTAATTCATTTACATATCTATTTACCAAATATTGTTCGTTTAAAAGTACTGAAATAAAATTCAGAATACAAAAAAAAAAAAAACGAAAGAATTTACTATCGAATACGAAAATTCTTAAATAGGATGAAAATAATTGCCAACTATAAAAAAAATCTTTGTTTTTATTTTTAATTTCTAATTTTACTTTGAAAAAGAAATTTAATATTTGAAAAAGACATTTTTTATTTAAAAAAAAACGTGAGAGATTGAAAAAGGCGTTTTATAATAAAAAATTTCTTTTTATTGAAAATTTTTATTTAAGTAAAAATTTTTTCAATATCAAAATTAAATAATGTTTTTTCTAATATTTAGTGTAAAATTAAATAATTGTGTTGAAATTTATGACCATACGAACGAAAAGTGGCATTTAAAAAAAAATTTCTCTTATTTTTCAATTTCGAAAGGAAAAGAAAAAATACAACAAATACGATAATTCATAATTGTGAAAGGGGGAATAAAAATAATGCCTAAGGTGCCATAAAAAAAATGTAGGTGCAGATACGGTAGGAGAGTTGAAACGACCCAATATATAAATATAGTAATTATATTTAACTTTGCTATACAGTTTTTAATGGTCGTTAATTAGAGGAAAGAAATAACAACAACAACAAGAAAACAAAAAAAAAAAAACAATTATTGCAAATAAGTCTTTGATTAGTGTGTCTCTGTTATTTAATTAATGTCGATACAAGAAAAAAAAATATATATATAAAAAATAATTATAGTAAAATATAAATATATATAATTATTATGATGTACAATATTGATAATAATTATTCCGTTCATTCTTTATTAAAATGATATTCTTAAGAAAAATTTCTGATATTCAGGAAAATGAAATTTTGATTATCATTTTAATATCTATTGCAGATTCTTTCCAATATTATCAAATTCACTGCTTTTAATATATATAATATAAGGTATAAATATATAAAAGACATTTTTTTCTTTAAATACGTCCTACGTCTTCACTGCTTATAAATAATATATAAAATAATTATATATCGAAATATATTTTTTCTAATATTTCGATGTATTTTATTTTTATTAATTTTCGTTTAATTTTACTATACATTATAGTATTATTATCTTTAGTATTATTATTACCTTTACTTATTATTTTTATTATTATCATTATTATGTCAATTTATTTAAATTTAATTATTTTTATTCATTAATTAAATATTAAAAAGTTTTAATTAAATAAAAAAGTAAAGATAGATTTTGATAAAATATCATTTTCATGTTTAATATATCGAAAAAGATGAAATTCAAAAATTAATTTTCGATCTTTTTTAAAATTCATGCCAAAAATTCATATTCTTTCATTTAATTATGTAATACACTGAAAAAAAATTTATTTGATTCAAATAACCGATTACTTGATTATTATCAATTAAATATTTCCTTGAATCAAATAATATTTATTGGAGTCAATTAAATCGTAAATATTTGCTTCAAATAATGAAATTATTGGTTCAAATACCATTTTTAATTGACTCCAATAAATATTATTTGATTCAAGTAAATATTTAATTGATAATAGTCAATTAACCGGTTATTTGAATCAAATAAATTTTTTTTTTCAGTGTAGAGATTCTTCTATAATTAGAATATAATTTTTTCAAGTAGAATGAAAAATAATTTCTATTTTTAGAAATATTTACGAAATTTAATAAATTTAGCAGAATTTTAAAGAGGACTGTATTCATTTTAGAAATTTTTTTCGGTGTGAACTCAAATTTTTTGTTGTTTTCAATTTTCATATTAATTCTTTTATTCATTATATCTGATACAAATATGATTTCATGACTTCTTAATTTCTTTATTTTCAACTGAAAAAAAAAATTTTTTTGATTGAAATAAACTATTACTTGTCCATTATCAAATAAATATTTACTTGAATCAAATAATTTTTATTTAAATCAAAGAAATTGTATATTTGTAGAAGAAATTTCAGTATTTGAAGCAAATACTACACTTTATTGACTTAAATAAAAATTATTAGATAAAATTAAATATTTATTATAATCAAAAATTTATTTAATGAGAAATTTAATGATTTTATGCCATAATAATTATTTGATGATAAAAATTTATTTATATATAATATTTATTTGATGATAAAAATTTATTTGATAATATTTATTTAATGATAAAAAATTTATTCGTTAATATTTATGTAACGATAAAAATTCATTTAATAATATTAATTTAACGATAAAATATTTATTTGTTAATAATTATTAGATGATAAAAATTTATTTGATGGTAAAGTAAGCGTTTATTTAAATCAAAAAGTTTTTTGTTTCAATCTATTGAAAATAACTATTTTATTTCTCCATCATTTTGTGGGTCAAAAAAAAATACAAAACATTATTTATTTATAAGCGTTCATTATAAAATAAATTGTTTAATAAAACAAATATTGTTAAATTAACAGTCATATTTATCAAAAAAAAAAAAAAAATTGAAAAATTTATCATATTAGGTATATAATATCATAATTATAAAAAATCATGTAATTAAAATTCCTGAATTGTAAATACAAAGTCTATGATCCAATTAATAAGCTTGTGATGCTTTATTGACCTTTTTATTTACTTACTACTACATATTATTATTATTATTATTATTATTATTATTATTATTATTTTTATTATTATTAATAATACTGTTATTATTTATTTATTTATTTAAAAAAATACTATAATCGTCTGAAAAAGATTTTTTTACGTTTATTTAAAAGAAAAAATTTTGTCTGGCCGAATATGCTTTTTACTACTTAATAAAAAAGTTACGACAATAAAAAATTATGTCTGACTAAAAATTGATTTTACTACTGCTGTAAGGTGTAGTGTTTCTTTTTTTGTTTTTTACTACAGAATTTTTTATTTGTCTGTCTGACTAAAACTATCTTTTACTACTAAGTTTCAGTTAAAATGATAAAAAATATTTTGTCTGACAAAAACCGTCTATTATTACTAAAGCTCGTTTTTAATTAAATAGGTGTTTCTTTAGTTTAAAGAGTTTTAGACATAAAAAATATTTTGTCTGACTGAAACCGCCGTTTACTACTCATTCAGATTTTTTTTCTTTAGTTTATAGAGATTTTTACAATTAAAAAATTTTATGTCTGACTAAAACCGCCGTTTACTACTAATTCAGATTTTTTCTATAGTTTATACAGAATTTTACAAATAAAAATTTTATGTCTGACTAAAACCGCCATTTACTACTAGTTTAGATTTTCTTCTTTAGTTTAGAGACTTGGAAAGGTAGGAAATATTTTTTCTGACTAAAACTGTCCATAGCTACTATATTTAGGATTTTTTGCTGCAGTTCAGAGAAATTAAAAAATATTTTGTCTGATCACAGCTGTCTGTTACTACTAAATAGGGTTTTTCTTTAATTTAGAGAATTTAACAATGAAAACATTTTGTTTGACTAAAGTCATTCTATTACTACTAGTTAAGATTTTTTTCTTTAATTTAGAGAGTTTATTAGAGTTTTAATTTAAATATTTTGTCTGACTAAAGCCGTCTCTAACTACTAATGAAGATTTTCTTTATTTATTAGTTTCTTTATTTATTATTTTCTTTATTTATTATTAGTTTAGAGAGATCAAATAATTAAAAATCGTTGGTCTGACTAAAGTCGCTTTTAACTACTAATTAAATTTTTCTTTAGTTTAAAAAGTTTGAAAAATAAAAAATATTATGTCTGAATAAAACTGTCGTTAACTACTATTTAGGATTTTTTTCTACACAGTTCAGAAGTAAAAAATTTCTTGTCTGACTAATGTCGTCTATAACTACTAATTAAAATTTCATTCTTTCATTTCTTCGAAAAAAGTTATTATTCCTAAAAATTTTATTAAAATTTATCAGAGAAATTTAATTATTTTAATAAACTTTGCTAGAATTTAAGTATTATTTTCAATAAATTTTTAATTAAATTTTCTTTAAAGAATAAAATTATTTTCAAAAATCCTAATGCAATTCTTTACGTAACTTTTCAATTTTTTCAAAATAATTTTATTAAAATTCTTCACAGAAATTCAATTATGTATAAAAATTTACAGAAATTCTCGTCAAAATTTCAATTATTTTTATAAATAATAAAAATTTTCTCCGAAATTCAATTATTTTCAAAACTTTTAATAAAATTCTTGTCAGAATTTCAATTATTTTTAATACAATTTTTTT